TATATTTTAACTAGAAAAATTGGGGGTCGTCTTATACGCCCAGTCGTCTTATATGCCGGAATATACGGTATGTGTTGAGAAATCTGAATCTGAATGAAAATAAGTGAATATACAAGGATTATATTCAATAGGCATGCAATAGTTAAATGGGGATCATCACTTTATTTCAAACACAGAATAGTCTGAAATGACAGTGTAAAAGGATGTAGAAGACCTGCTTTCCTTGGTCCTGAAGTCTTCTCAGGAGGTTTTGCTAAGGGCCCCTCCACACAGATATATAATCCAGAATATCAAGGCAGATAATCCACACTATCTACTTTGAGCTGGGTTATCTGAGTCCACACTGCCATATAATACAGTTCAAGGTGGATTTTATACAGCCGCGTGGAAGGGGCCTAAGAGTACCTCTTGCTGAAGAGATGCTGAGAGAGACTGTAATCTAGGGCTGTCTAACCTGATATCCTGCATCTGTTGGAGTGGATGTTCCATTATGGAGGCACTTTTGGCAGTGGGGTGACAAGAGAAGGATGGGGAAAGCTAAACACAGATGTTTGAGGACATGGTGTGCCAATGCTCAAGAATGCTCACCTGGGAACACAGATCTGTATTTATCTAACCAGAAGTAAATTCTACTAAGCTCAATGACACTACTTCTTAAATAAATGCAGACATAATTGCAGTGCTGCACATCACAGGTGGGAGCTGGCATGCTATAGAAGTTGGCTTGTTAGACTACAACTCTGGAAACTGGAGTTTGAATCCCGGCTTGGCTACAGAAACCCATTAGGTGACCCTGCAAGTCACACACTCTCCGCTTCATAGGAAGGCAAAAGCAATACCCTCCCTACAAATCTTGCCAAGAAAACCCCCTGGTAGGTTCATCTCAGGGTTGCCATAACTCATAAATTACTTGAAGGAACACACCACCAACAGCAGCTTTTCTTCTTTAAAAATCCCATTACAAAAGCTGTCTCTGAATTGCAATGACTGAGTTTGACTGTTTTGGTAGAAGGCTGGAATATAAATAAAATCAAAAGCATCCTTGTCACATGGCATAGCTGTACTTGATTTTGTTGTATTACTCCAAGGACTTTAAGTGCCCCCATCCAGGTCCAAATAACTTACAAGGCACCAAATGCTATCTGGCCTTGGAAGCTAAGCAGGGTCACGTCTGTCAAGGAACACAAAGGGCTGCAGGCTGTATTTCCAAGGAAGGAGCCTCTGAGTATTCTATAAGAAACCCTTAAGGAATTCATATATTGACAGGTGACTTGAAGGCACAGGCAAACACTCCAACAATTCAATGCCAAGCATGATATAACACATAATAAATACATCCATACATTAAATAGTTAAAAAATACACATTAGAACTAGCTCGCCAGATTACAATTTCCATATTTAAATTGTCATCCAAAACAGCCCAATAAATTCTTGTCTTCCCAGTAAAACAACTAGTCTGTGAACTCTTGATCCTATAACCAGCATTTAAGTTTTGTCCGGAAGGTCAGAAGGGAGGGGGCAGATCTAACCTCATTAGGGAGGGAGTTCCACAGCCGAGGGGCCACCACGGAGAAGGCCCTGTCTCTCATCCCCACCGAACAGGACTGCGATGGCGGTGAGACTGAGAGCAAGGCCTCCACAGATGATCTTAAGGTCCTAGATGGTTTGTAGAGGGAGATACGTTCCAAGCTCAATGCTATGGAAACAGGAGTGTTGCAGTTTTGCAAGGCATTTCGCCTTCTCTGCCCAATAGTTCTGGTGCCTTGCTAAACTGCAGCTCCTATACTCCCATAACATTGAGCCATGGCAGTTAAAGTGGTGTCAAACTGCATTAATCCTACAATGTAGATACAGCCTCTTTCTGCTGGTGTGTGAGCAGGTGGGCTATAGCATGTCTAACAATGATAGGAAGGGTCACCACAGTGAAAACTGAAGGCTGCTCTTGTACCTTTAACATCTGTTCAGAAGAGAGCGGGCAAGGCATAGTGGTTTGAGCACAGGACTACAACTCTAGGGAACATGGTTTAACTCCCTGCTTGGCCATGGAAACCCTTTGAGGAACCTTGGGCAAGTCACTCTCTGCCTCAGAAATAAGGTCACCTTAAGAACTTAAAGGCACACAACAACAGCAATGAAAAAGAGGGAATTTCAGGAAGTGTTCCTGGCAGAAGCTTCACCTGTTGTGTTCCTGCTGGTCAGGTAGCTATGGGCCCTTCCAGACAGGCCCTATTTCCCAGGATTTGATCCCAGGTTTTCTCCTTTAAACTGGATTATATGAGTCTGGGATAAACAGAAAACCTGGGATCTGATCCTGGGATATAGGGCCTGTCTAGAAGGGCCCTATGATTACCAGAGTGAAAACTGGAGGCACCATTTCAGGGACCCAGGAGCAGCCTCCAATTTTCACTGTGGCAAGACCAGCTCCCTGACAAGCAGAATTACAACAGGTGAAGCTTCTCCCAGTGTAGCCATTGGTAGCCCCACATGAACCATTGAGCTGGAAGGGACCCCAAAGGTCATCCAGTCCAACCCCATTCTGCCAGGCAGGAATGCCTCTTCCTTCATGCACCTGCAGCACAGATGAGGCCAAAACCCAATTAGGCCTTGAATAAAATCCCACATTTTCTGCTTTGAACTGGGTTATATGGCAGTGTGGACTCATATAATCCAGTTCAATGCAGATATTGTGGGATTTTCTGCCTTGATATTCTGGGTTATATGGCTGTGTGGAAGGGCCCTCAATTAACCAGTTCAAAGCAGATATTATGCATTATCTGTTATATGGTTGTGTGGAAAGGCCCTTAGGTAAAGGCGGCCAGGTTGCCAAGCAAGAGATTGAAAGGTGCTCCCGCCAATGAAAGTGAGGAGTCAATATCTTGCCCCGCCCACCGGAGGGAAAAGAGCCAATCCCACCCGGCGTGTCCTCCCTCACCTCTCGGATCGAAGCGCGCAGCATCTTCCTCGCGGAGCCGGGCGGAACGTTCCGCGAAGCCCTATTCGGCACCCGTCCCTGCCTCCCGGTAGTGCCCGAACAGGCTCATGGGCGCCGCCATCTTGAAGCCGCATGCTAACACCAGCGCCGCTGATTGGCTCAAGTCTTGTAGGAAGGGAATGATGCCGTGTCGCTATTGGCCCCGGTGGCAGACCGTCCCTCTCGTGGAACTGAGAAAGGGAGTTTGTCTGAAGGAGACTCAGGGGAGAGAGAGTTCTCTGTGCGGAGGCTGCAAGTTTTACCTCATGGGGAGGGCGGGGGTGGCAGGCAATGCATTTCGGGAAAATAGGGCCTGTGGGTGACATAATCTGAAGGGAAGGAGCCGCCCTTCTTCCCCCCTCAAAACCCACCGAGCTTTACTTTCTGTGAACCTCAGAACTCTCCTTTCTTGGAAAACCCAACGAATTGAAGTAAATTCAACTGGAAGGCAACAACTGTTTCCTTCTCTGTCTTCCTAGGTTTATTTTACATTTTGATAAATGGAAATAATGTGAGAGATGCTCACTTAAAGGAAAAGGAGCAAAGCTAGAAATTATCACCTTGAGATATCACGATTCAATTCTAATTTGTGGGAAAAGGTGCCTTTGAACTGCCTCCACGAACTTCTGGGTTGCTAAAGCGGCTTAATCTCTTCCCTTTGCCTTCACCATGTTGCCCAGGAAAGTGGTCGGCCTGTTTTGGGCCAGTCCTGGTTGCTTGGCCTCTCTCCCTGGAAGGGGAGCAGGCCCAAGCCCTTGCCCGCAGCCTCTGGGCCAATGCCTGCACACCTCCTGCCCACGTAGGACCACGATGCCCTCCTGGGTGATCGACCGGTACGGGAAGAATGATGCCCTCCGCTTCACCAGCAACATGATGTTCCCCATCATACACTTCCCGAACGAAGTTATTATTAAAGTCCACGCAGCGAGCTTAAACCCTATAGACCTTAGCATGAGAAGTAAGTGCTTCCATACATCATCTATTCTACAATCTAGCATCGTGAAGATATACACAAAAATATGGCATGATCGGCATTCAAGGGCATGTGCTTTCAGTTTGCAAAAACCTCAGTCTTCACTACTTGCTAACAAGTTATAAATAAGACCCACAACATGGAGGACAACAGAGTTAGCACAGTACCAAGGACCTAGGTAGACCAATAGAATTGGATAACTGGGAATACCTATGGCAAGTCCTCAAACTTTTTAAAGAGAGGGCCAGGTCACAGTCCCTCAAACTGTTGGAGGGCCAGATTATAATTTGGAAAAAAATGAATGAATTCCTATGCACACTGCACACATCTTATTTGTAGTGAAAAAACCACTTTAAAACAATACAATAATTAAAATGAAAAACAATTTTAACAAATATAAACTTACCAGTATTTTAATGGGAAGTGTGGACCTGTTTTTGGCTGATGAGATAGGATTGTTATTGTGTGCTTTCAAGTCGTTTCAGAATTAGGTTGACCCTGAGCGAGGGCCGGGTAAATGACCTTGGAGGGCTGTATCCGGACCCCGGGCCTTAGTTTGAGGGCTCCTGACCTATGGAACAAAGAATTCAAATTTACGTTATTGGAATCAATTGGGGAAAATCAATATAAAATGTTTTATAGGTGCTATAACCCCCCAGCAACACTGTGTATAATGGGGTAAAATAGACAAGGTATTTGCTGGAGGTGCAGGAAACAGAAAGAGACATTCCTCCATATGTGGTGGACCTGTGTGACCATTCAGACATTTTGTGATAAAAATAGAGAAAACAATAATCAAAAGGACCAAGAAATATACCAATATAGCTTTGCAACGGCAAGATTTAACCAAAAAGGATTGAAGGGAAAGAATGCGGGAATATATGCTAATGGCTAAACTAACCAATAATAGGAAAAACAAAAGTAATGAGGACCTTTTAGAAAAATGGAAGTTGGCCATGACATATCTGAATAGAGAGTCAGTAACATAGAGGAGCTCCATTAGGAATTTAGGTTTACTATGGACAAGGATGGATAAATGGGCTTAAAGGCTTCATAGTGCTTCAGTGTTGGTGAAGGGTGCACGGGTGTGGAAGAGGTTTTATTTTGTGTGGGATAAGGGTTTTGGGTGAGCGTATGGTCTGTCATGTGTAATACGTTGTGTGTTAGTGTCTGAATGTTATGGAAAAAATGAGTAGAAAGCTTAGACTGAAAATAGTGGATAATATGTAGAAATAGCAAGTCTATATGTTTTAAGTTAAGTAACTGATAATAATATGTACTCAGTGTCAGAATGAACTGGTTGATTGACTAAGGTAGATAGGTATGTATACATCAAAAATATTGTTACCTGACTATATTTGTTATGATTTGTTGCTCTGTTATGTACCATAACTAAAATAAACTGTTTTTTAAACAACATTATATTCCTGCCTTAATAACATTCCTATAAAAGTCTGTTGTCAAAAATCATAGTTTCTCTGGTAACACTATTGTTTAAGTATGTATGAAACATATGAAAATAAAATATATACGAAAATATAAGTAGCAATGATATTAAGTATGATATTATGGTTGTTTTGTTCAGAGCTGCTCTGGAGGCCTTTTGTGGTATGACATGGGGATCACAAATCCAATTCAATCCGTAAATAAACTTGGCATGTTAGAGAAGCAGCAAACTGGGGAATTTCATTTTAGTCCATGGCCGAGCCTCTTAAATCAGTGGGTTTCTCAGACTCAATTTCTGATCCATGCTACAAGAATAATGGAGATCAAGTTCTTTAGATGATTGTGGGGATAAATAAGAGATGGATAAGGCATGAATGCAAGATGGTCTGTAAATCTGTATAGATGCCCACAAGCCAAACCTCTGTGTTTTGTTTTTGCGTAGGTGGTTATGGAGCTGCTGCTTTAAGGCTGAAGCGAGATCCATTGCGGATCAAAACAACAGGCAGTGAATTTCCTTTAACACTTGGCCGCGATGTTTCAGGGGTTGTGATGGAATGTGGATTAAATGTGTCCTATTTCAAACCTGGAGATGAGGTAATGTCAAGATGTGGGTTGAAGAGACATGACCTATTTTGAATTGATTTAGAGATGTTCAACCTCAGTAAAAAAAAAATAAACTGAATTTGTTACTTTATCCATGGTTTTCCCTCTCAAGCTAGAGGTGGAAAAGTGTACTTATACATCTTAAAAGTCAATTTTGTTGGTTCAGCAGGTATAAGGAAATTATCCCCTAAGGGAGACTTCTATTATCAGAAAAGTTGAACATTTTGTCAAGTGGGGTAAAGGTCCCATACAATTCCGTGAATCTTTGTAGTTCTCCCAGGCAACATTTACACTACCATATAATGCAGTTTGGGCTGCATTATATGGTCACTGTATAGATTGCAGATTGAACTGGATTATATGAGTCTGCATTGCCATCTAATCAAGTTTAATATGCATTATAATGGCAGTATAGATGGGGTGTCAGTCTCCTCATTGTTCTTGTTGAACCCTAACCCAGTTTATCAACCCAAACCCAACTCCTAGAACTGCGGTAGTTTCTTGGTTTTGCTAGTTTTTGGTACAACCTGTGAGGGGATGTGGAAAATGGCCCCTGGCCTTGCTGAACTTGTTCAATACTGCACATCGTATACTACAATATAGCAAGTTAATATGCTATTAATTTCTTCTTCCCATAGAGAGACGATCTTCTTAAGGCTTGGAAAGTGTGTTATTTGGCAAAAAGCTATTGATTATATTTACACAATCCAAAGTTCTTTGTGTGTTTAGGTCTGGGCAGCAATTCCACCCTGGAAGCAAGGGACTTTATCAGAGTTTGTTGTAGCAAGTGGAAATGAGGTAATGAAACAAAACATTTTTTATTTATTGAAATAAAAATACACACAAAAGTAAGGCAATATGTTAGAAGTGTTCAATGCTTGCAATACAAGTATTGTAAGACATGTGAAATACCATATAATTCATATAATGGCTATTCCCTTAATCTATATGGTACAATTTGATGTTTCTCTTCCTTCTCTCTTCATTTAAATCTGGGAGGGAGGGAGAAAAAGATAGAGAAACGGAGGTAGGTATATAGCAGATTTTTCCATTCTCCTAGCTGGAAAATATGAAGTACCTTACTATACTTTTTACAATAGGATATATTATGGCATTGAATTTACATTTCATAGGCCGTCAATAGGTTTCCATGCTTTGGTGTTGCAACATTTTAAAGGGGAAATGAACAGTCATTTCTTGGCAATTCTACTTGCCACAGGTAATCCGACTCTAATGTTGTATTTTACAATTATAAGAGTGGTTCCCAACCTTTTTTTTAACCAGTGACCACTCTCCAACATTAGTACCAAAAGAATCAGGTTTTGGTCAACGTTAGATTCTGTTTGGGGTGATGATTCAGAAAATTGCATTGGATAGATCACATCAGCTCTAGTTTCTGATACAGAACATATGCCAGCAACAGGGAAGGAGTGGCAGGCGGCACAAAAGGAGCGGAAATTAATAAAATAAAATAAATAAAGAGGAAGGAGGCTCTAAGGACCAGATTTTTGTCCTTGCAGCCCACTGGTGGTCCGTGGCCCACAGGTTAGGAACCACTGAATTAGAGGGTCCTTACCTTAATAGCAGCCCAGTGTTTATGAGCTCTGCATTGTTAATATGCACAAACAAATCTTATAGGACATTTTACGTGTGTGCACAAAAATATACACAGTAGGATATGTGAACATTTTACAATTGTCTATTTACCCTCAGTAGTTGAAAAATTTAAATCATTTCCATCCAGTAATAAGATACAACTCTCTTCATTTCTTAGATGCATGTCTGTCTCTTGCGTTTTGTATAGGTATCTAGAAAACCAAGATGTCTCAGTCATGTTCAGGCAGCTTCCCTGCCTTATGTAGGTTTAACTGCATGGTCTGCCGTGAACCAAGCTGGAAGACTAAATAAGGATAATTGCAGCAATAAAAGGTAAGTAGCCAATTGTGGCACTGGAGCCTCACTTAAGGAGTGATAGACCTACTTTCTTTTGAATGTACTCAAGACAGAGAGTTTTCTGTTATATAAATGTCTGGGTAATGTTTGTGCTCTATGAAATTTATTAGACTTCATGAAGTTTGTTCACCTTGCTCTATTCAACCACTCTAGGATTATACTGTGAGCTTTCTTTATTGACACAAAGGCTTCTTGGACAGGATGTAAATCTTAATGTTAACAATATGTCAGTTCCTTATTCTTGACCATGAGTCTTCAGGTGGAGAAAGGATGACTTGTTCCTGTCTTGACCAAGAAAGACATGTAATTAAAAAAATGACTTTTTGGCTTGCTTTTAGATATTGCTTTCATTTGCCTGCTTTTTTGCTTGTAGCAGAATCTCTTTTGCAATTGGCTTAAGGTGCAATAAACTTGTGTTACTGCAGTTTCCTAAGAGTGATAAGAGTGTTGAAACGTGTTACAGTAGAAATTCAAACTTATGTGGTAAACTTTTGTCCTTTTTGTTATGCTGTTAGCATATATCTTTGGATATTTAAGGTAGATGAGGTACTTGGCTGAAGAAAGCTTTCTCCTATATCACCAGACTAATATTTTAGTTGCGTTTTGATATAGAAAAGCAGAGAGTATATTTGGTGTTGCCATCTTGGTCTAGTATTTTGGTTTGATAGATTTCTACTTTAGCCTTGTCTTGTATAAAATAGGACTATAGAGAAAGAAACTTGGACAACATAAATGTCGCTAGATTCATTTCTTTTGAATGTTGGATTATAGAAAGATATGAGGGTTTACGTACTAATGGCTTGCAATTGTTTTTATTTCTTAGAGTATTAATCTTTGGTGCCTCTGGTGGAGTAGGAACTTTTGCTATACAGGTAACTAAGTTACAACTGATTACCCTGACCAATGTATTGAAACTTATGGGAGTGAAGTATGTACAGAAATGTGCAGGAAAAGGAAAACGTGTTATATATTCACTAGAGATGCTAGAGGTTGCCATGTTTGTGATTTTACAACAAATTATGAAGCATGAAGCTTTCAGTCAAGTCTCACTTTAGTCATACAATTCCATTAGCCAAGTCACTACTAGTAGCCAATGGTCCAAATCAGGGCATGGGTGGAAATTGACCATTCCTGCTTGGCTCATGGGCTGCCAGTGATATTATTGCACTATCTTACTGACCTGAAAGATCCCATGTACATTTAGTATACAGTACTTAAGATGCAAACCGCTGGTATGTGTCAAAACTAAATTGTACAGGGAATCTTTCTGGCTTTGAAAATATATTTATTGTTTATTTAATTATTTATTAAAACATTTATAACATCATGAGATCTAAGGCAATGTATGAGTAATATAAATTTAGGCAGATTAAAAGAAACCATTTAAAGCAATTTAGCGAGTTCAAAACAGGTTTAAAAGGTTTAACATTTAAAAGTGTATCCATAGATATTTTAAATAAATCAAATTAAGTCCTGAAGGCTGTGTTTTGCTTGTTGTGGAAATGAAAGCCGTGTGGACACCAAATGGGCTTCCAAATAAAGAGCACTTCACAATCGGGGTGCCACAGTTGAGAATGCCCTCACAGTATGGTCTCTTTGGAGAGCTCCCCATTGAATCCCAATCTTTTCACAAATGTGTATAGGGAAGGACTTTGCAGTTGTGTATATAGGGAAAGACTACTTCAATATTGGATTGAATTGGAGCTGACAGATGGGAGCAATGGGTTAAACCCTTGTGCCGGCAGGGCTGCTGACCAAAAGGTTGGCAGTTTGAATCCAGGGAGTGGGGTGAGCTCCTGCCTGTCACCACCAGCTTCCCATGCGGGGACATGACAGAAGCCTCAGATGGTAAAACATCTGAGTGTCCCCTGTGCAACATCCTTGCAGACAGCCAAGTCTCTTACACCCGAAGTGACTTGCAGTTTCTCAAGTGGGGGCCACCTGCCATAGTGACTTTCAGTTTCCAGAGGCCACCTGCCATAGTGACTTTCAGTTTCCAGAGGCCACCTGCCATAGTGACTTTCAGTTTCTCAAGTCACTCCTGACATGAAAAAAAACTAAAAAAATTGGTTTGTTTATTATTTTGTTCTTTGGCAACCCAGCTTTTTATATACCTTTTTTTACATAATAGCTTTATACCATGTCCATCCATAATAGTTCAATTTGAAAAAATTCAAAATGTACAAATTAAAAAAACCCACATTTATCCATTGAAAATGGTAAAATCCAGAAGCACCAGACATATCATGAAAATTGCAACAACAATAAAAAGATGCACCAGACCAACTTGAATGAAAAGGCTTGTGAGAGGCTGATTACAAAACAATGCAGAATAAGTGTGCAAGACAAATCTCTGGGGAAAGTATGGCACACTCAGAGTGACAATTCTGAGAAGGCACTTTCTCCAGGGGCCACCTGCCATCGTTTGAACAGTGAAATAAAAGATAAAAGAGGATATTACGGCATGGACATCCACCTGTCAGGTAACCTGTTGCCCATTTTGAACTGAACTTGGAAATGGCCTGGGAGCCAGTGCATTCAATTTCTGGCTCAAATAACTTTGAAAAAAGGATTAGATATTTGTGGAGAACAGGCCTATTAGAATCCCTATGGCCATGATGGCTAAATGGAACCTCTGTGCTCAAAGATCCAAGGAAGTTCTCTTCCTGTTCATGGTGATGAAATGTTACAAGTTACAACATGATTCTTCCACCTTGAAATACTCCCATTAATGCCAAATCCAAACATGAATTATATTTATTATTTATATTCCACATTTGCCCTATGAGTGGGATTCCATATGGTTTAAAGCTAAATTGTACAAGCACAATCCAAATATGAAATGAATAGTTGCATAGAACACCTGAGCGATTGCTCTCTGACTTCTTCTTTTTGGTATGTGTCTTTTCCCCAGTTAGTGAAAGCCTGGGATGCTCATGTGACAGCCGTTTGTTCTGAGGATGCAAGTGAATTGGTGAAACGCCTTGGAGCTGATGAAGTGATTGATTATAAATCTGGGAATATGGAAAAGGAGTTGAAAATGTTACCAGCGTATGTATTGATGCGGTTACATCATGGCTCCACCTGGCAACATTTTAAAACCCAAATTGGGTTTAACTTTCTGTGTGTGTTTAAACAAGTTGCCCGTCTCTTATTCTGTTGCACTGGTACCATGAGACTCTTAATGACTATAAAATGATTTGTATTGTCAAAGGCTTTCATGGCCGGAATCACTGGGTTGTTGTAGGTTTTTTTGGCCATATAACCAAAATGGCCATATAACATGAATGGACATGTGTTATAAAGTGCCTGCATGTATCCTTTCTAGTGATTTGCTAATTATGGAACAAGTCCGTTTGAAATCTTTTACTATGTATATGGAGAAGGAGGGTATTTTACAGGCCCAGTCATTTTGAATACAGTATTTGTTTACTGCGGGGGTGGGGTGATATCTCCTAAATAACATTTTTGTTGCTGTTGTGAGTGACATGTGAAATGTGATGCATGAGCAGTATCACCATGAACTGGATGCTGTTTATTACATATTTAATACTGTCCATGTTGCTCATTTGCCTTCTCCTGTTTGTGAACTTCAAAACAACAAAGCTCTACTTTAGTTTTTGTGTGTGTGTGTGTCAAGAGTGACTTGAGAAACTGCAAGTTGCTTCTGGTGTGAGAGAATTGGCCGTCTGCAAGGACGTTGTGCAGGGGATGCCCGGATGTTTGATGTTTTACCATCCTTGTGGGAGGTTTCTCTCATGTCCCTGCATGCGGAGCTGGAGCTGACAGAGGGAGCTCAGCCTTCTCTCCCCTGACAGATGGGTGGCCATCTGTCAGAGGTGCTTTGAATGCGATTTTCCTGCTTGGCAGGGGGTTGAACTAGATGGCCCATGAGGTCTCTACCAACTCTACGATTCTATAGGTTATGCCCTCAATCCTATTGTATCACATTATCATATTTTTCTGTACACCCATTTTATTTTGTTTGCTTGCCTCTATTTTCTCTAGGTTTGATTTCATCCTAGATAATATTGGTGGATCCACCGAAAAGTGGGCTCCTGATCTCCTTAAGAAGTGGTCAGGGGCCACGTATGTCTCTTTGGTAACACCCTTCCTCGTGAACGTGGATAGACTTGGGGTAGCTGATGGCATGCTACAGACTGGAGTGACCTTTGGTGGGAAAACTATAAAGGTATGTTTAAATTAAACCTATTTTAAAGCTTTGTTTGTGTGTGCCTCAATTGCTGATGCTTTTTTATCCACTTTTGACCATTCTTTATGTGTATTTGTTTTTCAATTCAGCATCTTTGTAAAGGAGTCCATTACCGGTGGGCATTTTTCACACCAAGTGGTCCTTATCTGGATGAAATTGCTGATCTTGTTAATATAGGAAAGGTATGTCTGAATTGCTAATGATTTTACTTACCACTGCCTGCTGAAACATCAGTTTCTTTAATCTAAACATTTTTGGATAGATGAGGAGTTGGCTATTCCATTGCCATTTTGGCTATTTTAATCGTGGTGTGTGCATTTATGTTCAATACACACACCAGCTTCCAAGGAGACACGAGGCTTTAAGTCCTTTGCTGGCCTATAATTTGCTAAAATCTGTGAACAGAGAGGATGAATACAGAGAGAAATGAAACAAAGCATTACAGAAGCTGCTACGCTGAAGGGTCTAGAAAAGAAGAATATTGCTATCTCCCCTTGTTAAGCCTCTCTAGATTAGTGGTGACGAATATTTACGAATAATATAAGTAGTAATATAGAATGGTAGTTCTTAAGATGAGTACAGTGTTTTAAAAGTACTCACAGTGTTTCATATGCATTATTTAATGGCATTCCTATAAAATAAGCCAGTATTACAATCTCCTCTGGACTTGAAAATGAGGACGATAAATGTGATGATACCAGAGGCACGATTCAAAGCAGGGATTTCCTGGAAAGCAAGGCCTCTTTGATATGATACCAGCATTATATATTTAATTGATTTAATTACACACACACACACAGAGTAATCCCCCCATATCCATAGTTTCTGTATTCATAGAGTCAACCATCCATGGCTTGAAAATGTTTTTAAAAAGAAGAAGCAAACATTGATTTTGCTATTTCATATAACTGAGACCATTTTACTGTATATAATGGGACTTGAATTTGGTGTGTAGGGGGGCTGTTACTAGTGAATATTAGGAACCTTATTGTTCTGGCAAAATCTTGAGAGTTTTTGGCTGCATGGGCCGACTAGAACTGAACTTCCTGTTCTTCTAACATACCTTTCCGTTGGACAATCAAATATTCCTCACAATAGCAAGATACTGCTTCATGCTAAGGGCTTCTTTTAGGTAATGCAGAAACATCCCTATAAGTCAGTGGTTCCCAACCTTTTTTTACCAGGGACCACTTGACCAGGGACCACTCTCCAACATTAGTATCGGTTACTAATCGGTTTTTGGTCAACTTTAGATTCGGTTTGGTTATCTGGGGTGCTGATTCAGAAAATTGCATTGGATAGACCACATCAGCTTCTGATACAGAGCATATGCCATCCAGAAGTTACCATCTGCTTGCCCACAGAAAACCATATTTAATAAACCTTGGCACTTTAAGAGGGTTTTGCGAGACCACTCACTCTTGTTGCAATGGTGTAGTAACGGTGAGGCTGCGGACCATATTTCAGTTCTTGCGGGTCACTGGTTGTCCACAGACCACAGGTGGGAACCCCCGCTGTAAGCTATAGTGAACCCAGAAGCAGTTGTGCAGTCACTTGATAGGACTGGGAAATTTGCATTATGCTGGAAAGTACTTGAGCTGCCTTTGTATAGTCAATAGTTGAAGGGTGTGACATCTGCGTAAAACTCTGAACAGGTGAAGCTTGTACTATTGAGAACATTCTTAGTGTGTTTGTGGATGGCCTGAGATTTCTTTTGTCACAAGATTAGCATAGAGGATAGAATTGTTTGCTTATGCTTTAGCTCTTTCTTTGCAGAGGGCAAGTCTTAAAGTCAGAGATTTTGTGTTTAGGTTAGATCTCATAGAATGACATCTACACACAACCCTCAACTGTTCCTGTTTTCCTTTAGATGCATGTATACTGTTCCATTTTGCCTATGTACATTGTTAAAGTCATACTTGAGAGAAATTTCAATTAAGGTTGTGAGACCTCACAACCTCTGAGGATACCTGCCATAGATGCAGGCAGAACGTCAGGAGAGAATGCTTCTAGAACATGGCCATACAGCCTGAAAAACCTACAGCAACCCAATTATATATTTACTTTATATAATTATTTTATAAATTGTTTTGGTTTTTTTTGAAGTCAACATCGGTACATTTCTGCTGACTCCACAGCCCGGCCTTAAAGAATAACAAATTTGACACTAGACCATCATGCCTTGCAGTCTGTGGATGGTGGAAACCCTGTTTAATTCCCTGATATTCCCAAACAACACTGAAAAATATCTTCAGTCAGTGCAATGTACCCTCTGTGTAGAGTATTTAGGATAGTTCATTGTGGATGCATTGAGAGATGAGGCAGCTGCTCTTTGTTGTGAGCTTCCCCCATTCGAATGGGCAGTGACGTCCATTGAAAGCAGTAGTTTCTTCTGGAATTGGGGTATTTTTTGTTGCATAGTATAGCAAACAGGCACTTTTATAAGCTACATTGTACTTTATGCAGTAAACAGATGCATGCTTAGTATCTTTTTTGCTACAGTCAGCTCGCCCCAGCATTGAGTTCAGAGTGAATCAGATGCTGACTTTAGGGATCTGGGAAAGGGGCAGTCATTGCAGTATGACTCTCAGAGGAATAATAAATGTGAAGGACACCAAGCCAGGCAGGAAGTGATGACCATTAAAGCAAAGTGGAATAAAGTGCCTTACTGTATAAAAAGAAAGATTCCTCTCAATTACAAGCAGCGTAAAAGTTCTATTAACTGGGCGGCCTCCAAAAGGGAGCCTGGATGGAGTAGGATAGTCCGTTTTTGGGGAGGGGAGATTTGAAGGAGGAAAACAGTTTCCTCCATTTTCTCTGGTTATCTCTCCCCCCCCCCCCCAATGTCATAAATGAGGGTTGTTTCCACAAGGGCAACATGGGTGAGAGGAATAACAGGAAAACGAGAAAATTGTTTTACTCCTTCAACCTCCCTTCCCCACATACAATGGACTATCCTTCTCTGTCTAGTGCCCCCTTTTGGGCTCCTCTCAGACAGTAGAACAGTACCAAATACAGCTGTGATATCAGTTGCCGCCACTTACTCATCCAAGGTTCACACAGCAATGGCCAATAAAAATAACAAGACAAATAGTGAGTAGTCAGGAAGGCCTTGGCCAACAGTCTCTGCAGCCCTCCTGTTGCCTATGCTCTAGAGAACAGAGCCTTCCCAGGGTGAGGGGCTGGTCGCCTCTCACATTATTAATACATTTCCATGCTGTGGGCCGCAGTCTGAAAGGTCTGGATTCTGCTACTGAGAAAAGTGTGAACTGTTGACTTCAGAAATCAGTGTTTTTATGGTGGGAAGAATATGGGAAGTGGACTGTCCACCTCTCCCCCCAGTATAATTTAATGCCCTCTCCAGCTGCATTAAATTTTATAAGGAAAGGATAGATTGTTTCTGCTGCCCTCTTTACATTGTGAAGCATTTTTACCATTGTCTTGTTTCTCTAGAAATCAAAAATAAAGCTATGTAAGTCTGGAATATGAGTTTACAAAGAGATGCTAAAACACCTTAGAGTAGTGGTTCTCAGCCTTCCTAATGCTGTGACCCCATAATACAGTTCCTTATGTTGTGATGACCCCCAACCATAACATTATTTTCATTGCTACTTCACAACTATAATTTTGCTCCTGTTATAAATCATCTTGTAAATATCCGGTGTGCAGGATGTATTTTCATTCATTTGGCACAAATACTCAGTATGTCCAAATTTGAATACTGGTGGGATTGAGGGGAGGATTGATTTTGTCATTTGGGAGTTGTAGTTGCTGGGATTTATAGTTCACTTACAATATCAAAGAGCATTCTGAACTCCATCAATGATGGAATTGAACCAAACTTTGGACACAGAGCTCCCATGACCATCAGAAAATACTAGATTTAGTGGCAATTGACCTTGGGTTTTGGAGTTGTAGTTTACACACATCCAGAGAACGCTGATGCATCTGGACCAAGCTTGGCATGAATACTCAATATGCCCAAATGTGGACATTGGTGCAGTTTGGGGAAGATAGACCTTGACATTTGGGAGTTGTAGTGGTTGGGATTTATAGTTCACCTATAATCAAAGAGCATTCTGAACTCCACTAATGATATAATTGGGCAAAACTTCTCACACGGAACCCCCACGACCAACAGAAAATACTGTGTTTTCTCATTGTCCTTGGTGACCCCTCTGACCCCCCCTCGCGACCCCCCCCCAGGGGTCCCTGCTAGTCAACATAGCAGTTGGCTTAGCTATCAGTATATACAATTGGGGTTATATAGGTTGAATATCCCTTATCTGGAAATCTGAAATAACTCCAAAATTCAAACTGTTTTCTTGGGTGGTTGAGATTAATGACACTTTTGCTTTCTGGTGATTCAGTGTAAGCAAACTTGGTTTCATGCACAACATTTCTAAAATATGGTGTGTAAAATGGCCATCAGGCTATGCATTGAACATACATACAAAACATAAATGAACTTGACTACCATCTCTATGATATATGTGTAAGTGTTCTGAAATCTGAAATATGGAACATTCCTGGTACCATTTTGGATAAGGGATACTCAAGCTGTAGTATGCCGTACTATTGTTCATAGTCCTTGCTTGCCCTGCCCTCTTCCTGAATGCTCGGTTTCTTTCCCCTTCACCACCAGATTTCTGTTTCTCTGAATATCCCCTCAGAAGTTGGTCAATAAGCATGCCCTCATTGGAGAATATGCTCAGTCCTTATGGAGCTCTTTGTGGTTTCTCTTCTAAGGCTTCTTTTTCAAAAGGGGTGTTTTGCTTTTGGTACTTCTGACAGCCCAAAGTGTTACCTGGTTTTTGTGTATGGATTAGACTGTTTTGCTACAAAAAAGACCCAACTCAGAAAACAGAGTTTGCTATTGGTATATTGGGTGTCAGTTCAGAAGTCGCTGCTACCAGGAATGAACAGCTGAAAGATATGTCTGACAGGACCCCGGGCTCAGTATGGGTTTATTCTTTCAGACTAGCAGTTCTGTATTGGTGCATGTAATCCTTTCTCTGCACAGAAGTCATCATTTTAATCTCTCTTCTCTGAACAAACAACTGTTCTGTGGCCAGGGGGCTGATGCGTAGTTGTAAACAGATAAGTGTTTTCATTGTCTGGTTTAATCTCCACTTACTGTCATGTCACTATTTGCTGACTTGACCGGCTATGAGCACAGGACGAAATATTTGTCTTTGTCAGGTTGTTTGCCGTAAACACTGAATGGCATATTGTACTGGGTACACAGTCAGCCCTTTTCAGGTTTATTGAAACAATGAGTCTGGATCAGCCGGCTAGATAAAGTGTTTAATGTGCCAGATTGCTGGGATCATCAGTTTTAGCATTCATGCCACTTCCCTTCATTGCGGAGGGTCAATGATGCCATCAGACTGCGGTCTGCAACAGTATAGCTGGGTTTGTGGATTTGATAGCAGCCTCTTAAAATTGGGATCTTATAATAATTTCAAGTTAAATTGCCTACATTTAAATGGTACTGTAGGTTTCATAGAGCAGTGAAAGTGTGCCCCCTATGGATTTATCCTAGGAAATACTACCTGTTTTTTTTATATTTTTTTTACACACACAGTATACTGCTCTGTGTTGTGTGGCAGTGTGGTCTTCACCAAGGAAAGACATGTTTACCTTCTTGGCCAGGATTTATATTTTAGCTTTATTATTTCTGAAGAGTTAATGTCTTGTTTCTTCTGAGATAAAATATGCAGTATTAAGTTAATTTATGGAGTATTTTTGTTTGGAGATTGAGGACTTATAGATAGTTTGAGTGGCAGAGGTATTGTTAGCCCTGAAAGCTTTGCTGCTTGGGTGAGACTGTTGCATATGAAGGCGAGAATCCACACATGCACAATGTAACGGAATGCCAACAGCTGCACACAGGAGGCTCTGATGGAGCCTTTCCTGCCTTGTGGTGTGAGTTGCAAGCGGTTCCCTTGTACAAGATGAAGGCTAGACTGCTGTGTGGGCATAGAAGGTCCTTTCACACTGACCATGGAAAGCAAGACTCCCAGTGTACATGATCATCACACACAGTGACTGGCATCCTGTTTGTGACATATACAAGTGTGCATCCTATGTGTGTTGTTCTTTTTTTGTCATTTGTCAGACGTTGATACTAACTTCCTCCCTTCACAATGACCAAAGTCCCCTCTCTCTCTATCATTGATGCATATTTTATTGTGATAGCCTTCCCTCCATTGCTATGATAATTCCATGGATGGGGGAGGGTGAAGATGCATTTGGCTGTGTCCCCATAGGTTGATGCAATTAAATGATGTCATCATTTTGCATCTAGTTACGGGTCAAAGTCATACATTATCAACCACCCCCTTCCTCACCACTGAGAGATTGGGGAGAGGGAGCTACTGCTTGCTGCCATTCTCCTGAAAAATCCCCCTTTTCGAAGCCTAATTGCTTCACAAATCCCAGTATTCTAAACAAGCATTCTTGGGCATGTTTTATGGACATCCTTTGAAAGGAGGGGTAAAGCTTACTGTGTGGGTGGAGGAAGGAGCAAAGGGTGAAAACTTTGCAAGAGAAATAGAACAGGGCCTTTGTCATAGTAATCAGGGTGAAAGGCCAAGGGAGCTGCAAGCAAACATTATAGAGGGCTGTATGTTTTCTCATACTGATCTAGAGAAAAGAGGCAAATGGTGAAAATCAGGATGTGGTGAATCAGGTTATGACACTTTTGTCTCGTGGTCCTTGGACATGTCTCTCCACATGGGAGGGATTTATGACTTCTCCCCAAAGTCCATAAAACTAAGGGTGCTTTTAGAAAGAGAGCTAGTTCTGCCAGCTAAAAGTACCGGTAGATACACACTGATGGAGATTTAAACAGAGAAACTAGGAAGTCCCACACTATGTATATATTTTTTTGCATGTGCCAGAGGTCAAGGTGACAAGGACAAAAATTTAAAGAAGCCAAACACATCCTTCCAGAATGTTGTTTTCTTGATACCTGTTGAGTGTACTTGGAGAATTTGCAGTTGATTAATTTTGACATGATGGGAATGTTTTTCCTATGTTTAATTGCCAAATGGCGTGGAAGCTGTATCTCTTTGCTCTCCATCTATACTCCACTTGAAAACTCTTCTGTTGTCACTAATGATCACTCAGAGCTGAGGTCCTAGTAAATAGATGCAGTATTGAGACTCCATGAGCTGAGGCCTAGCAGTGCCCCAAGACTGCTTGACTAAGGGTTAGTTAAAGCATGTAGGCTATTCTGTGCTCTTGGAGGAAAAGTGGCATAGATCCCATAATTTGTATGATTTTATTAAGATAATGTAATTTAATTAGTTATTCAAGAAACTAGAGTTTGTATAAGTGATGACCTTGATGAAAACACTGCTTTGAGAGTATTTGCAATGTTTGATTTTTCAATTTTGCATATATGCACCGCCAAAACATGTGTCAACTTACAGTAATACCATGAATTTCATATGTTTTTCTTAGGCAAAGAATACTATTGAGTTACATCATAGTATATATAAGGCAGGGAACCTTCCCCTTTACTGCCTAATTAAAGGCATCCTGAAAACATTATCAGAGGCACAAGTTTGTACTGTTGTAGATAAAATCTACAGCATTCTAACAGTATTTTTCTTCATTTGTAGATACATCCAGTTATTGATCAAGTTTTCTCATTTTCTGATGTTCCCAAGGCCTTCCAGAAGATGGAAGAAGGGCATGCACGAGGAAAAACAGTGATCTGTGTAACTAATAAAAAATAATTACCAGTTTGTACTCATGATTTCTGTGAAATTTCTTCACCTTGTTTGGCAATGTAAATCATCATTATCTTTATTTCTATCCCGCTTTTCTCCCTAAATGGGACCCAAAGTGGCTCACAACATTTTAAAAACAATTCAAGTCAACCATACATATAACAGTAATCTATAAAATTAAATGTACAATAAGCCATAAACATATTTAAAAACATTCAACATAATTTTTGAACCCTTGATGTACTAAAGGTGTTATTTCAGCAACATGCAAATGTTATCTGAAAACGTTTAATATTAGTCATGCGAAGAGAAAAAGATCTGTTTGCACCATCATTTTCAACTCTAGTCTGAATTGGGTGCTCCACTACTTGCTTAGATGAACTCACAATGAGTACTTTAAATATTTTTGTCTTACATTTTAAACGAAAAATTGGGAGCAGGTGTGTTGTACTAAAGTTGTGTGTGGTTGAACATTTTGGCACTTTTCAAAAACAAATTTAATACTCAATGTTTGAAAACTATTAAGGACCCTATCACTGGGAGATAATGCATCCGTGGACACATTTTTGGAGAAACCATGGCAGATGTATCATTTTCCATTTATTTGTGGCAATTCTGTTCCAAGTTTAAGCAATAATGTGTCAGGTACCCAAAATGTGCTGATACTACTTGCTCTGTAATGGCTGAAAAGCCCATTAAAATTTGCAGTTTTGGCAGGGCTGCAACTCGTAACTATTGATCTGTGCTTCATGCTGTGCCATGTGATGCTTCAAATGAGACTCTTATTTCCTCTGGTGATAGTAGTTCATAGGATCATCGCTCTTCCTGGTTTTTTTCTACTTGCAGGACATTATGCAAGAATCCTGAGCCTTAAAAGCAAAATGAAACAAGTTTCGTCCAAGTAATTTTTATTTGTAAAATATGCATTTATACAACAGTTTGGACATAAAATGCTGGCAATTGAGAACAACACCTCAAAACCAAAAACATTTTCTGTACCAAAAGAATCAGCAACATTTTCTTAAAAGGAACCAGAAAAAGGAACTGTAATGAAATATTGACTGCTGCAAAAATGTGTATAACAGATTGGAGTGATAAGGAAAAAACTGGAACATTTATATGGAAGGTACTAGTTTCCTAACAAACAATGACAAACTGAGAAAATACAGCGGTCCACATAAGTCAGTGCAGAACTACTAAAAACATTTTCAAGACACAGGACTAAGCACTTCAGCAAGTAGTAACTATCTATAAGTGGCTTACATAGGAACATTAAAAACATAGTAACTAATGAAGAATAATTTTCACACTGGAAAATAGAACTAGAGAATTGTGGAGAAGATAAAATAATTATGTGTTTCTGCTGGAATCTTTCATTTTAGTTTGGATTTTCTAGTAGAATGCAAAAGCTATATTCACATTTCTAATTTATAGCTTGTGATTGCTGAGATTACTGGACTTTCCCTATTTGTTTAGGGTGTGTAAAGCCAAGATGCCCTTGGCTTTACATGTCAGCAACAAATATGGCATCATATTTGTACATATAGTACAATTCAGAAAAATTACAGATGTGTAAATGTAAATCTTGGGGATGATTTACATGTATTTCAAAATCAGCAATGCTGTCTGTCTGTGGTATAGAGCAGCACCCATTTTCTTCAGCATGAAGAAAATAAAACTGGATTTTTAATGAAAATGATGTATGCAGACACCACAAAAAAAAAAAAACCTTAACACTGAAGTAACTGACGACAAAAACTAGAAGTATAAAACATAATGTACAAATGTAAATAGTGAGTTTCATCTGGGAGACTTCAGAACAAAGGAAGTTGAAAAGCGAGTATTTGGTATAGCCTCTTGAGTAAAGCGTTCCCCTATCTCAATTAGTTTTAAAATTTATGAACTTCGTTACATGTTTCTATTTATTTTTTTTTAAAGTAGAAGAATTAAAATATGAAAAAGTGCCACTTAAAGACAATGCTTGTAAGCTTGCAAGGGAAGGCAGCTGAGCAGATATGTAATACATTCTGCTGAACACCTGAAATTTCAGTTGGCAACAACATTTCTGGTTTATATATTTTTGGGTTTCTGTTGTTCACAATCTATCACTCTTTAATACATACACTTATTCTCCTATTACATTTAGTGATAATGCAGTATTTTCCTTTTATTTTAATCACCTGATATGTTCTAAAAGACTTCTTATGGGTAAACAGTTTGTCATTTTACATGCTGTTGGAATACTTGAGTTTTTAATAGACACATACCAGTGCAAAAAACTTCAGCATAGAGTAAAAGGACATTAAAACCACTTTTTGGAAATAATTTAGTAATTTATAATAGTTCTAAAGTAACTATTGGTGATGCATTTCAAATTTTGCAATGAAGAAAGAACAGACATTCAGAGGGAGGGCTAGTAGCCATAATATACACACATAACTAGATTGAAGGCTGACAGAATAATTCACCTTCAAACATTCCCACTTCCCCGAGGAAAGAGAGAGCCAGTCATGGTATATGGCCTGCCCCTCCCTCCCTATGCTGAGAGAAATTTAGAAGTGGTGAGCCCCACAGAAGCATCCTGGCTTTACATCAAATTTAAGAGCTGCAACTTGTATGGGGAGCCTACACCTCCACATCTGCATGGTAGCTGCGGGTATGGTGAGGCTAGGTGCAAGGTGTCTGACAAAGGAAGTGAGCCAGCAAAATAGCTTTGCTTCTCTGTGCAATTGGGGCCATGTCAGGGTGAAGGCCTGGAGAGTGCAGCGCTCCCATACGGTGTGCTTAATTCTGTCATCACAATTTCTCAAAGTCAAACATCCTATTCTTTGCTTCTCTTCTTGTACTATCCCTTAGATCTTGAGCTTCTGAATTATAACTTTTTTTTTAGATGACCAGTGGTTCCCAGTACTGCGTCGGTCTATCTTCACTGGTTGAACTGACAATGAGGTGGTTTTGATCATAGTGCTTTCCTCCTAGAATAATAAAAAAATAATGGTTTAATATAGAATTTGGAATGCAAAGACAGTTACAGTGCACTACTGGGCTATATTTAATATTTCAGATGCTGCCTCTTTTCTATTCCTACATTTGTTTCCTTCATATAAGGCAGTGCTCTTGACCCTATTCATTTTAGCCTCTGCTTTGAAGTGGTTGCATCTGATGCTCACACATTTGTGATGCTTCAAATTATACCCAAGACAGGCTAATCACAATGTACAGAAATGCAATGTCTCCCAAGGATTAAAAAAATAGCTTTATAGGCAATATGGGTGGGCATTCTTGGTTGTTAACAGAAATCATGCTTCTACTTTAAGCAAAATAACAACAGTGGTATGACAGTTTATAGAAATAATATTCTAGGATGTGTACTATATTCCCCTTTGAGAGAGGCTTGGGAATGACTATTTGTTAGTAATAGCCTGGACACTGATCTAGTTTAAGATAAATGTTCTTTTGCTAACTCAGTGCATTTAGTAACAATATAATGAGATACTTCATTTTGGGGGTGCGGGGACTCAAGGCAACATTATTTTTGTGGTTACAGGTATTGGTTTCACAAGGCTGGAGTCCTGTACACATCTACCTGAGCTCAATGTAGACATATGATTCATGCTATTACTGTAATAATTCATTGTATCCTGAAGAGGGCATCAAAGTCTTTATGATCTAAATGCTCACTCAAACTGATTAATGCTTTCCATTCTATTTTTAAGGATACAATGGGACAAAATTATATTCTTATTACACCAGAGATTTTAATATCCTAGCATATTTGGATATTATTCAGTAAATATTTATTAACTTGTGAAAAATGTATTGAGCTTCCTTGATACAAGTGATAGACAAAACCTAATAAATTTCCTAGGAAGAAAGGACTTAAAATAATTTGTGCTATCAATGTCTATTTTATACAGCTTTTTTTTTCGGGGGGTGGGGGGAGGAAGTGACTCTCATGATCTGTGACATGCAGTGGTTCCTTGAGGATGCCCAACCTCCAACAAAAGTTCATATACCTACAATGTATACAAAATGGAAACTGCTCAAGTGTTCAGAAGAAGACAGTCACCCTCATCATGAACACAAGCATACTACTACTCTCTGTTTTGTTCATGCATTATGTACACTGCAATTATAGCAATGTTAAAAAAAGTTCACTCTCAGGCGATCTAACACCAGAGATATTTATAACACCACTCTTATATACATTACATTATACATTATATACAACCACCACTCTTACCTTTGATATCTAATACTAAGTGTGGCTTCATCTTGCTGTAGATCTTGCCATCTGGATTAATACTCCATTTTTGTTTGTCCTCATTCTGTTGAAGCGCCAGACCCAGTTTTGCACCAGGAGTTATCAGGTTTCCTACAATTGTCAAGCAGAAGTCTTCTGCCACCTGGGAAGTTAGACAATAAGAGTCAGAGCCTAGTAACACTAATAGCTTTGCATCTCAGAAAATTAAGAATTTCAAGTTCTATTGCTATACATTGAGAGGTAACCCAGGAAAGTTACTTCTTTGTACTAGCACGCTCAGAATAACTTAAATTATTTTCAATCTTACACATAGAGACAGAATATAAATTTAATGAATAAATTAATTGGCATGGTCAATGGACATATTGGCTGGGGAATCTGGGAACTGAAGGTACCCCCTCCCTATAAAAAAAGATTTATAAAGAAAGAGGAAGAGAGGAGGAAAAAAGGAATATTATCTTTAAAACTAACTTTATTTTACTAAGGGCTTTTGTAGATAGAAACAGATTCCTTTGAAACAAAGTCATATTAAGGCCTTAGTTATAAAGCATATCTATACACAGTTGTAGGAGTGGGATAGAATGTAATAGGATCCAGAAAGATGCAAATCTTAGATTTATAGGAATTCCGCATAGTATTCTATTAATATCTTTTTCGTGGCACAATTTTGCCATGTGGAAGAGGAGATCTTACTAGTGTGTTACAAAATGTTGAGAGCTGAAAGGCCAAACTATCACAATTATTTGACATTTAAAATATCTTGAATTACAAACATGGGGTATCTTGAAAAACCTTCTTTCTGCCAAAACAGTTTGTTGACCACAGTTAACTTCCAAGTGAATGCAACCAATGGACTTTAGTATTCTTAGTAAACACAGAAATATCTGAGGCTGGTGAGATAGTCAAGTTCATCATCTGGCCTATTCTATTCCCTCCCATCCCCAAGGACTGCAATCTGACATCCTTTTACATTCAGGAGTTTGTGGGGCTGGCAGCCTTTTTTTGCACCTCCCAAATCTCCCTTACCACTCCAAAGATAATTGGACGCACATATTGTTTAAAAATATATTTTTGTTGTAAATCAAATACACCCAAATGTCCGAAATGCACTCAATTAACAAGCTCAATATGCTGCACCCCAACCTGTCCCATGGCTAAAAATTGGCCAAAAACACAGGGCATGGAAACAGGAAGTACTTGCTAGCTACTTCCAGACTGCACATTTCAACTGATTTTTGAATGAAACTGCCGTTAGTTATACTTGAGGGAAGTGGACAATTGCATGCATGAACTTGCATACAGTTGCCACTCCGTTTTAAGGGAAGATTCTAGGACTGAAGCTGGACTTTATTTATGTAAAGCATATATTTTATTACTGAACTAATTATACTGAGATCCAAGCTTCAAGAATTCAATGAATATATTTGAATGCACTCAAATGAAGACAACTAAAGCCATGCTGTAGAGCACCTTTTGAGTGTTGAAATGCACGAAACTTTTTTTTTGTCTTAGATGGGGTGTTAAAATTAACGCCCCTACTTTTATATTCTGCTTTAAGCCTACAGCTTCTGATCTCTCCCTGTCCAAACATGCTCTCATGGGTGGTTAAAAGGGAAACAAATGTACCACTATTATAAAGTGGCTTGTGCAGATGAAGAGCCTCTCCCTTTGGCACAGTGCTTTGAGAGACCTTACACAACTTTTCAAAAGACATACAGATGGACACACGGCTTGTCACTCATGCTTATTTCACTTTGTTTGATGTTATAGCTAGAAGACAGCTATGTGCTTTGATCATAGAAGTATGTAACTCAGGTGGATTTTCTTTTGTGTTATGTTATTGTTTAGACTTTACTGTCGAGTTTGTGCTGATAGCTATATAGGCAAGTCATGTAGGTGCTGTTTGTAATTTGATGCAAAAATGGCTAAACTTGTTCCTACAAACCAAAAGGAAGAAGGTGGCAACATAATAATTATTAATGCTTTAAAGGTCTGCTATCTGCAATTCAACATTTTTGCCCCATGTTTCATTATCAATGGCCCAGGTTTGGTTAACAGCCATTACACGAAATTGTTTTCAAATTGCTCAGGATCCTAAGTGAAAGGGAACAGCAGAGTAGCAATGGAAATAGAAATACAGGACTCCTCAAGACTAGTGCAAAGATGTGAGAGCTCCTGAGGTAGAGAGAATTACTTGGTTGTTTTGGCATCCCCTTGGAGCATCTTCAATCCCTGTAGAAGCTATGCAAACCAAGATAACTATCTTTTATGAGAAAGAAATGGCTAGAATGCTTAATTCTTAAAATTTAAAACATAAGGAGATTGTTTCATTTTCAGTTATATCCTTTTTTATCATAAGTGAATAGGAGCCCTTGGTGGCACAATGGGTTAAACCCTTGTGCCAGCAGGACAGTTGACCAAAAGGTTGGTGGTTTGAATCTGGGGAGCGGGGTGAGCCTCCGTCTATCAGCTCCAACTTCTCATGTGGGGACATGAGAGAAGCCTCCCACAGGATGGTAACACACCCGGCCATCCCATGGGCAACCTTGCAGACAGCCAATTATCTCACATGAGAAGTGACTTGCAGTTTCTCAAGTTGCTCCTGACATAAAAAAAAAATCATAAGTGAACATTCTTAACCATGTTTCACACAAAAAGCATATGTAGGATGCTGAATTTATGTATTTAATTATTTGATTTATATCTTGTCTTCCTCTCCACAGGATCCAGGATGCCAATAACTGCATACCCTATCAAAACTTGTTTAATACACAACCTCACCCTGCATTTGATGAATCCGTCTTGATACATCCAGATTTGTTCATCAGTTTTAGTATCATCTACGCCTTGTATCCTTAAAAGATTCAAGTCGTTCAGATTGCCATCAGTTGACATAAACTTTCCATTTCCTCTGTTTCTAAGTGTGAAGTAGACTCTTTTCTGTAAAAAGATCACAACATTTGAACTATATTATTGATATTAATATACCTCCTATTCCCCAGTGTAGTCACTCCATATTGCTTTCACCCTTATAGCACCAATAATATTACAACCTGGATTAGAGAAGCTTACCCAACCACAGAGAGAGAAAGAGAGAGACATTCAGAAACCATCGCAATGTGAACAGGAGGGGACAGTTAAGGTGGTTGTCTGGTGACACCAAATCGGGTTTTATGCCGTTGAGTTGTTGGGACTACTTTCTGCCTCCACAGTGACCGTATGTGTTGCTGTGATAACCATTCTAGGGAGATGTTGCATCAGCCCAAGAATAACAGGTCAGTGTAGAGCCACCTTTAGTTGAGCTAATCATCTTCACAAAGCAATTTACTCAAATTTAAACCACTCAGATAATTTTCGGAATTGAGTGTTGCAATCTAAGTCATTATTTTGAAGTCCTGTATTTAAATAATCTAGTCATTTCTGCCAGAGTGTTGGATTTATTTTGTTGTTGATGCATAACTTCAAGTTGTTTCTGACTTATGGTGATCATAAGGAGACCCGATCACTGAGTTTTCCTGACAAGATGTATTCAGAGGGACTTTGCCTTTGTCTTTCTCTGAGGCTGAGACAATCTGATTTGTTACAGTCACCTAGTGGGTTTCCATGGAAAAAAGGATTAAACTTTGGTCTTCAGAGTTCTAGTCCAACACTCAAAACACTGCACTATGCGGCTCTTATTTGTATCATATGCTATGATTAAAATGGCACTTTTTATCAGTACTATGACCAAAAAAAATACATATGAACACCACTACAGTGAAAGCAGAAAAATCTAAGTGCTTTCCACAAAGGACAGCTGTTTCTTACCTGCAATAAAGGTCGTAGAGATCCTACTTTCTGATAGCTACTGGACTCATCCCAGTTTGGTATTTTGCTAGGTGCCAATAAAATCTGGCGGCCTTTATAATTATTGTGTTCATAAATAATCCATCTGAAACAAACCAAATGTTACTGTCTATAGCCACAAAGTGTACAAAACTTGAAAGAAACCAAATCCTTTTAAATTTTTCATAGCAATATCATATAGCATAAACGCATATACATTTTAGTTCAGCAGCAACCCCAGATATATTATTATATCCCATGAAACCAGTAAAACTTGCTTCACAGAAATATTTTTAGGCTGGACGCACAGTGGCTATATTGCATCAAACAACAGTGGGTGCAATAAAGGCCACAATAAAAGCTGGTATCTAAAAAGTACTCATAAAAAGCAAGGCAGTGCCAGTAAGAAAGACGAGAAACAAGCAAGCCTTTTGTTTGCATCCACCACCCCATCTTGTACAGTACCATACTATTATATAATTGATATACATTAATTTCAAAAGATCTTAATATGTTGCCACAACAGTTGGCCTTACCTTAGTTCTGAGTAGTTAAAATATGGGCAATGATTAGAAATTAAATATAGAATATGAAATTGGGGTTTGAGGTGGACTGGAAAACCACAGCTTTTTATTATGTATAAAGACTACCGCTGTGTGAGTTGATGTTATCTTGTGCAACAGGGCTTTTCTTTTGTGAAAAAGAAGAGCTGGGCAAGTCCCATTAGGGGGCAGTCAATCACAGTTCAAGGAATGCTGGGTGTGTGTGTGTGTGTGTGTGTGTGTGTCTAAATTTGAGTCTTGTGAGCATAAAGGCTCAAATGGGAGTCAGGTGGGAAAAAAGAGAATAGAATGAGGGCAATCAGAGGGTTCATCTACACTTAAGGATTAGTGCAGTTTGACACCACTTTAACTGCCATGACTTAATGGTGTGGAATCATGGGAGTTTTAGTTTTACATCTTTAGCCTTCTCTGCGAAAGAGGGCTGGTACCTCACCAAACTACAACTCACACAATTCCACAGCACTCAGACATGGCAGCTCAAGTGATGTCAAACTACATTAATGCTACTTGCCCCAAGATAGGGGTAAGATAAGAAAAGCATTTGGCAACAGTTGAAGAAAGAGTTCTGGGATTTCCTGTTTAGTTTGTCTGCTACATATTAAGTATTTGCTTTATTTTCTATAAATTAGTGTGACTATTCCATTTAGGAATTTCTAAGGAGATTGGTCATGCTTACCACATTGAATCCACTGGAAAACACAGCCACTTCTTTAGGAGGGCTTAAGCATAAAAGGGCAGGGTGAGGAGATCAAGGGTTGGAACTGCAAGGCCAGACTTGCGGGGACAGGGCTTTCTGTCACATTAGATCAATGGTTCTCAAACTTATTTTGCCTACCCCCTGAAAATCAATTTTTCTAAATCTTCTCTTCTTTCTTTTATGCTTTCACCGCCCCCTTACAGTTATTCATCGCCCTCAAATGCACCTGTGGTCATTACCGCCCTGCCCCCCCCCTCCGGATTGCTGCAGCATCCACCGGGGGTGGTAATGTCCACTTTGGGAATCACTGCACTAGATCCTCAGGAGCCCATGCTGGAGATGGGGGTTCAAGGACTGAAGGAAAAGAGACCTAGACCTAGCTGCTGATGAAAGTCCATGGTGACAGCCTATGATGGAAGTCTATGGGAGGCAGGCTTAGTTAGATACGACCCTATATCTGACTGAATATTCCACCATCTCCTCAAGCTTTTGTTTGAAAGGTAAAGCTAACCCTGCCGGGATCCACCTCTTATAGTTTCTTATGTAATACAGATTAGCTTGGCAAGTTAAATCCCAGTTTCATTGTGCCTGGAACCTTTAGAAGAGTGGTTACATTTATCTACGAGTAAAGATAAGCCTAAGAAATGCAGGAAATTGTAACAAAACAGACCAAGACATCAGAAGTATGAAGGTATGAACACTTTTTAAAAAAACAAGCAAACTAAGTTTTGCATCATGACTAATATTGGAATGCAAGCAAAGTAGGTTAGTGCATTAAGGGAAAGCAGAAAAATTGTAAAGGTCTTTGTATATGTCTGAGAATGGGAAGGGGGATTCTGTCTTCAGCAAATATAGTGTAAATGGATACCATGTCTACAAATCCATGTCATGGACCAGATCGGATTAGCAGAACTGTTTCTTTGCTATTAAGTTACAATATAGCACAATTATATCATGCCTTCCTTCACAAATTACTACTGACAATCAAGGCAGGTAAAAACCCCTTGTCTTCACAGTTTTTGGTTGTTCAGACTAAAATATACAAGTTGAAATCTTCTGGTGGACTCTGATAGGTTGATATTTCTCTGACTCTTCATAATTAAAAGGGAACATGATGGAAGCCTTGCTCAAAGAAGGAAGTTCTAGACATTGTTGTAAAATCAAGAGAAAACTGCATTCAAAATATAACTTACATGCCACCATGGACTTCTAGTGAAGCTATATCAGGATTGTAGCCAAGGAAGCGAAGATTTACGACTTCTGTAGTAAATTCTATTTTCCTTCCCTTGAAGTTTTTCTTTTCATAGAGAGCTATCATTGGCTCGGAAAGTTCCTATTTTAAAGAAAAAGTTTATTTCCTTATATTTATATTAGAGATCTTTTAAAATGTTATGGTCAGTTACATGATATTCATGAAGTATTAAGGGACAACTTAATTCAGGATTTCCCATCCTGCTCTGAAAATGATTATCAGAAGCATATACTATATTACCTTTTCTACAACTTTAATTTACCAGTGACAATTTGCCAGAGGAAAGCAACCAGAGATCAAGTGTTTGGAGAATGAGAAGCAGCTTAAAGAGCTGAGCACATTTAGCCTGCAGAAGAGAAGGCTGAGAGGAGGCATGATACCCATGTATAAATATGTGAGAGGAAGTCATAGGGAAGAGGGAGTAAGCTTGTTTTCTGCTACCCTGGAGACTGGGACACAGAACAATGGCTTCAAATTACAGGAAAGGAGATTCCACCTGAACATTAGGAAGAACTTTCTAACTGTGAGAGTTGTTTAGCCATGGAACTCTCTGCTCTGGAGTGTGGTGGAGGTTCCTTCTTTGGAGGGTCTTAATCAGAGACTGGATGGCTATCTGTTGGGGGTGCTTTGAATGTGATTTTCCTGCTTCTTGGCAGGGGGTTGAACTGGATGGTCCACGAGGTCTCTTCCAACTCTATGATTCTATGACATCAGTTTCAACCATTCGCCATGGTGAGAGCATTTTTCAAGTCTAATTCAGACTGGATCTGCACTACCCTATATCCCAGGATCTGACCCCTGATTATCCACTTTGAATTGGATTATATGAGTCTACACTGCCAGTTATTCAGGGATAAGCAGATAATCTGGGATCAGATCCTGGGATATAGAGCAGTTTTGATCCAACCAGAGTCACCTCTGTATTCCCAAGTTGCTAGCCATGTTTTCAAGCTAGGTGAATGGGCTTTAAAATGCTTAAATTTCATTAGCTTTAAAAGGACGTTAGTCCAATTTTAATTAATAACAGTAATAATAAGCAATTATGGAGAAACTTTTGGTGTTCACAGTGCTGCCACAAGTCTTATAAAGGAATCCTGTATGTGTTTTCTTACAAGGAAAGGGACTGGGAACTTGAAGCTGGGAAAGAGGGATCTCCTGGAACAGGTATGCCCTAACTTTGTTGCCTTTTGAAACTGCAGTCCACCACAACTTCCCTCTCAAGCTGAATAATTTACTATAGATTTTAGTTATATTTTCAAAGACAAGAAATGTCATATGGGCCAGAACTGGTTAGATGGCAAACTGGCAATAAATGGAATTACTCATAAAAGAGATATTCCATAGTACAGCCACACCTTCCATCTTTGGCTGGCACTTTCATGAGTCAGCAGTAGGTATAAATGCCAAACCTTCCCTACAGCTACATGGGCAAATAAGTGTGCTCTGAACAGCAGAAATTGTGAAATACATGTGGGTTGTTAATTTATTTATGGGATTTATATCCTACCTTTATTCTCAATATGGGATTCAAAGTATTATGTATAACATTTTACTGTCCCAGTGTTTCTCAAACTCTAATACTCCAGATGTTTTGGACTTCAGCTCTCACAATCCCAACAACTGCTAAAATGGTTGGGATTTCTGGGAGTTGAAGTCCAAAACACCTGGACAAGAACACCGATTTGTCCCATTTACAGAAGACCCACTGAATCAATTGAATTTAGACAAATAGATTTAGTGAGTCAGACTAACAATTAACTTTAATTTTTGTTTTCTGTATTAGAACCATTACTTAAAAAATCGTTCATTGCATAGCAATTCAGGTAGCCCAAGTAGCTTGCAATAGATCACACAATAAATTTGAGAAATAGGATGGGTATCTCAGAGCACTCTCTTGGGCCTTCTTGTTTTGAAAAGAACTAAAGACATTTTTGAACGGTTAGACTCATGAGTACTACAAATAGTTAACAGAAAGGGATTTGTTAGATACAAAAACCCTAGGGAATACAAATACAGTGGGCTCTTGGTATAGCCTAGAGGCTTGGTTCCAGGATACTCCTCATTCCAAATACAAAAATCCGTGGATGTTCAAGTCCCATTACAATGCTGTGATAAAATGGTGTTCCTTATATAAAATGGCAAAATCTGGGTTTCATAGAATCATAGAATCAAAGAGTTGGAAGAGACCTCATGGGCCATCCAGTCCAACCCCCTACCAAGAAGCAGGAATATTGCATTCAAATCACCCCTGACAGATGGCCATCCAGCCTCTGCTTTTTGGATCTGTGTGTGTGTTTATGTGTGTGATATTTCCAAGTTGCAGGTGGTTGAATCTGTGGGTGCAAAGTCCATAGTTAGGGAGGATAAGCTGTGTATAGTTTTATTCCACTCTGCTTCATAGTTGACACCTTTGAAGTCCAAATAGTTGCTGAAGTAGGACTTTTGTAGAAGCCAAACCAATTCCACCAACTTCCCCAAAACAAATAATTAGAATCTAAATTCCCAGACATAGTCAAAACTAGTGTTGACATGGTTACTTCCTGATTTTTTTTGGCAGCTGCTTATGCATTAGGCAGAGTGAAGTGGCAGTGGTGTTGTGTCAAAAGTGATGAACTATTCTGCTGCTTCAGGGGACTTTGTTCCTTGACACAGGAGACACACCCAATGCCTATTCTCGAAGACAGATGTTGGGGCCTAGTTACTTTGTGATGCTCTTGGGATCTGGTTCTGCCCACTAAAAAAAGGCTGTGGCACCAAAAGCTTCCCATTAAATTTGAGAATTTTTAATGTAATTTATTAATAACATGATGCAAAAAAGCTAAAACATCTTCAAAACTGTCCAAACTTCACTAGCATTTGCTCTACCACCTATGCAGAATGTTGTGCTACAAGTATCCTAAATAAACAAAGTGTCTCATTGGCTAAAGAGTTTGGCATGTTTAGCCTGCAGAGGTATAGGTTGAGAGGAGACATGACAATCACGTTTACGTATTTGAAAGGTGGTCATAAGGAAGAGGAAGCAGGTTTGTTTTCTGCTGCCTTGGAGACAAACATTAGGAGGAACTTCCTGAATGTAAGAGCTGTTCGACAGAGGAGGGTGGTGGAAGCTCCTTCTTTGGAGGCTTTTAAACAGAGGCAGAATGGCCATCTGTTGGGGTACTTTGACAGTGTTTTCCTGCATGATTTGATAATTGTGCAGTATAGGTAAAATAACAATAACCGTGTCGTTGCTATGTATTAAAGAATAACACATTTAACAATATGTTTCTCCACTTTGATATCTTTTTGAACAAGCTACACTGCAACATTATGTTCAGGTTTCTAACTCCTCATTTGTTTCTATTACTTAGCCATGCATCCTGATACCTCTCCACTGTATTACTGTTTACACTGAATTCCTGACTTATGGTGACCCAAAGATGACCTTACCATGGGATTTTCTTGGCAAGATTTGTTCTGAAGGGATTTGTCTTTCCATTCTTCAGAGACTGGGAGAGGGTGACTTGCCCTAATTCACCTAATGGGTTCCCACAGTTGAGTGGGGATATAAATCCTGATTCTCCAAAGACATTGTGCAACACTAAAACCATTACATCAAAATACCTCTACACACTGGTTTTAAAATAGATCCGGTTTCACTTTATACTACTCCTAAAGTCTTTAACATAAACTTACAATATTTACAACTTGTAGAGACTTCAAGCATGTCTGGGGAAGGCATCCCATTGCAGAGAGATCAGGATAGGCCCCTTCTTCTAACACATACTGATTCCCAGAGAAGTCTTTTTGATCATATGCAATCCAGCTGTAAGAAAAGAATATATTGTTGTTCATGAATGCCTTCAAGTCATTTCTGACATATCACAACCAAAGGTGAACTTATCACAGGGATTACTTGGCAATAATTGTTGGGTGGAAGTTTGCCTTCCACTGAGCCTGAGAGAGTGTGATTGCAAGAAAGATAAAATACTAGCTATTGGAACAAGATGACTGTCTGGCCTCAGCTTGCTGATGAGATGCATCATGCATTCAACTTAACACAGAAGTTCTAATTTCCTTAAAGAAGGCCGATGGCAGACATAATATTGTAAAATATGCAAACCGTTAATTCCTACTCCCAACTCCTTTGGTCAATTCAAAACAAACATATAAATATTCTACTGTGAGGGCAAAACAATTTGAAATACATTCACTGCACTCTGATTCATTATTTTCAAGATAGAAAATATGTTTTCAAATCAAATCTTTGACATTTATCCTTCATCACTCCTCACGTGATTTTTTTTAAAGATAGTACTTTTCAAAGAAGAAGGCATATGTCTCAACTGAGCTCCACTGACATACATAATCAGTGATGGCACCACAGGATATGAATGTTGATATCAAAAAGTGTGCACCATTCAGTGAATAGGACCTAGATGATCCATATGATGATCCATATCTATTCCATGCTCAAAACTTTCCTTCTCTAAGTGGCTATCTTGCTTAACTTGTGTTTACTGATTCAGTTTTGTACTCACCTGCCAGATAATACTTTTGAAGACATAACAGGAAACGATTTCTCGATTTGAGAAATGTCTTTCTCAAATATTTGATTGTTGCCCTGGAACTCTGGCTCTGAAAATACCTGCACCTTTAAAGATAAAATAGAACATTTTCGCAAACATTACATTGAGTCATCAGATCATTCTAGTTGGACTTTCATTAATTATGTATAAAACAAGCACTTTCCCAAAACTACATACAATCTAAGAATCACACTGTATGAGATCATATCTAGCAGACATGCCATACAAGGCATAGGGTTACAGCCTGTGCTGGATGGGGTCGCACTCCCCCTGAAGGCGCAGGTTCGCAGCTTGGGTGTGATCCTGGACTCATAGCTAAGCCTGGAACCCCAGGTTTCGGCGGTGACCAGGGGAGCATTTGCACAGTTAAAGCTTGTGCGCCAGCTGCGCCCATACCTTGGGAAGTCTGACTTGGCCACGGTAGTCCACGCTCTGGTTACATCCCGCCTAGACTACTGCAACGCTCTCTATGTGGGGTTGCCCTTGAAGACGGCCTGGAAGCTTCAATTAGTCCAACGTGCGGCAGCCATGATTCTAACAGGAGCGGAACGCAGGGAGCATACAACCCCCCTGTTGCGCCAGCTCCACTGGCTGCTGATTTGCCGATTTGCTACCGGGCTCAATTTGAGAATTTTGAGAAGGTGCTGGCATTGACCTATAAAGCCTTAAACGGTTCCGGCCCAAGCTACCTAGCTAACCGCATCTCTGCCTATGAACCCACCAGGACTTTGAAATCTTCCGGGGAGGCCCTGCTCTCGATCCCGCCTGCTTCTCAAGCACGGCTGGCGGGGACGAGAGATAGGGTCTTCTCGGTGGTGGATCCACGGCTGTGGAACGCCCTTCCTACGGACATTAGACTAGCACCATCTCTAATGGTATTCCGCAAAAAAGTGAAGACCTGGCTGTTTGTGCAGGTGTTCGAATAACCAGTGCAATGATTGGTAATGAACACAGGAATGGAATAATGGATGACGAATCTGGATTATGGTTTTGATGATGAGACGATAGTGATTGGTTACTGTAGTAATTGTCTAATTTATGTAATGTGTTAAGTTGTTAAGTGTTTTTATACTGTTGCATTGAATTTTTGCTGCTTTATTGGTTGTGAACCGCCGTGAGTCGCCTTCGGGCTGAGAACAGCAGTATATAAGTAAAGTAAAGTAAAGTAAATAAATAAATAAATAAATAAGTTCCATGGACAGGTCTATGTCTCCCCTCTTCTCCACTTGACAACTCAGCTTTTAGTTGTTGCATCTCCTACTCCACTGCCATTTTATTGCCAATGGAGAGCCTAGAAATGTTTGGATAGGTCCTTACACCCAGACACAGAATGCTAATGTAATCTGTCAAGATTTCTTAGAGGACCATAGACATCTCTGTGGATTGCCTGTTTTGTGTTTGGCTGTAAAGACATAGTCAGATGCTTCTCTGATTCTCCTTGTTCTCCACCAGCTACTAAAAATCTGTGAAAGGAGTGCAGTAATAAGGTAGCTAAAAAGGTAGTCCTGAGAAAAAGTTAATTGTTAAGCAAAGTTGATTAAAAAAAAGGTTAACATGCACAAAGATTTTTTTAAAAGACATACAATGATATCTATTGGCCTTATGCCATCCTAAGTCCCTAATGATCCCAGCCTTTATATTTCAAATCTGTTCTTTGTTAAAGGAACCATTATTTCCAACCATCTCTACTCAGATGATGCTAAGGTGATATTCTTTTTATGATGTTGCAAACTGGCTCAGTTCCATGAGCTGCAAGCAAAATTCTTTGTCTAGCAAGATACTGGCCTGTTTTAATTCTTTACTGCTAGGGCTCCACAAATGAACCTGCCAGACATAACATTCTCTGAGCTGGCAAATACCTAGCTCAGTTCATAATAAAAGTCTGGTTAGGACCTGCTTTGAACTTAATGCTGGCAGGAGGCATTAAAAACCCACGGGAACTCTAAAGCTCAGTGGTTTTTCAAGATGAATTCCTACCAATTCCCTGTGTTTGTAGCTTGAGAGGAAGAAGTGCCTCATTCCTTCAGTCATGCTTGATTTGGAAGCAGAGAACACGCCCTATTTTCAAGTATTTCTAGAGTTCAGTACAATGACATTTTTCCACTCTTGCCCTCCTCATGGCAGGAACATTGGCTGGAATCCTGCTAGGTAGAGTAATGTACTCAGCCATTTCATATTCACAACCCCTAGTTGATATTTAGTGATCATCTGCCAATTCTTACTTACCAGGCAGCAGTCACTGTGATCAACAGCTGTTTCCTTGTTGATCAGAAAGCAGCTGGCTGGTGGTCCACCCCTGTCCCCCACCCCATGAGCAATCTTTAGTGTGAGAAGGAATTGTGACAGGGACCCCTCTTCTACCTGTTGAACAGGAGATAATTCATGGGAGCACATGGGGATGTCTGTCAGCTGCTTCCCATGGAAGACGGTCTATATTTGATTTTAGTATGACGACTGACCACTGTAGTTTTTAAATTTATGTGCTTTTCCAGTGTTTTATTGTAATTATGTACTTTGATATTTTACCAATTGTACGTGTTTTTATGGTTTGAAACCGGGCTGAGTCCCTCTAATGAGGTGAGAAGCTCGGTATATAAAACTTTGAAATAAATAAATAAATAAAACCGTATTATATAACTCTTGGCAGCTCAGATTGCTGTTATTGGTGCTCCGTTTACACTGTTCCTAATTACCTGCCACTAAGACTATTTGTTTTTCATGAACTATATTGCCCATTATTCTCCCCACACCCTATTTTTTTCTGAAGGCCAAGTATGCATCACCCTCCAGATGTTCCTCTACAACCAGCATAGACACTGGATATAATAGCTAGGTATGATGGCAGAAGTTACAATACCACAAGTTTCTGAATCTTCCTTTAGGCTATTATACTGCAGTTTCAGTTGCACTCTGAATTTACCTTGCAAGATTTTGGAATGCTTACCTTAAATTTTCCAGTGTGCTCACTGGAGATATCCTAAAATGCATGGAGAACAAAGACAAAAAAGAAAATGAAGCAAAGACAACATTAAAAATCTGCAAACATATGCTGATAGATTAATACTAATAATAATAATAATAATAATAACCTTCATTTATAGACCACCCTATCTCCCCAACAATATGGCAAACATTCAATGCCAAAAGAAAACCATACAAACAGTTTACATCTGGACTAGAGAGGAGATTCCATCTGAACATTAGGAAGAACTTCCTGACTGTGAGAGCCGTTCAGCAGTGGAACTCTCTGCCCCGGAGTGTGGTGGAGGCTCCTTCTTTGGAAGCTTTTAAGCAGAGGCTGGATGGCCATCTGTCAGGGGTGATTTGAATGCAATATTCCTGCTTCTTGGCAGGGGGTTGGACTGGATGGCCCATGAGGTCTCTTCCAACTCTTTGATTCTATGATTCTATGATTCTAGACACATTAGACAATGTAGAAAAACATCACTGTAACTTAATAAACAAAATAGTGAAAAAAATAAAATAAAAACATTGTAAAATACAAAAAACCTGATAAAGCACACTAAAAATAAAACATAAACTGAATCCATTGGAGCTCCATCACACGTGGTTCAACAATAGCAATGGCCAGGAGTTCTAAAATGGCCCAACTTACCTGTCCGAACCTATCTCCCTAAATGAGCCAGCAAGGAGGTTAAGATCTTCTGGGGAGGCCCTGATCTCGATCCCACTTCCTTCACAGGTGCAGTTGGCGGGGATAAGAGACAGGGCCTTCTCAGTGGTGGCCCCTCGGCTATGGAACTCCCTCCTGAGTGAAATTAGATCAGCCCCCTCTGTCCTGACCTTTAGGAAAAGGCTAAAGACATGGTTGTGCGACCAAGCATTCAGTGAGTAATTTATCAATGCCAAAAGATGGAATAGTGAAATAGTGCAAAATAAATAAATAAAATGGACTTAATCAACTATAAAAGGGCTGGGCAAGGGATAGTGCAAACAGCGTATCATAGGGCTAGGGAAGTGAATGAAGTTATAGAATAAAAATACAAGTGTGAGGAAATAAAAAGTGTGTTCATTTAAAAAGACCTTCTTACCGAAGTGATGGGTTGAACTGAAGATATTTTAAAATCCTTGGCTCCCCAGGCCTCATAGCTGGAGTACAGTCCTTTTTCAAGGATGAACTGCTCTCCTGTAAAGTCAGGATTTTCATAAGCCACCCACCTGAAAAATAAGTCAAGCTTATTTTACTAGAATTTTACAAGCCCCTGCATGCCAGAACATTTTTCAAGCCACACACACAGAAGCTTCATTATAATCTTCTAAGTTTGCATGGGTCCTAATACTGTACCTACAATACAATAGCATCATCATAATAAAGAAGACGTCATCATAAGACCACTCTCACTCCCCGGAAGGACTCAGGGTCGTTTGAGTGCTGATTCAGAAAATTGCATTGGCTAGACCACATCAGCTCTAGTTTCTGTTACAGAACATATGCCATCCAGTAGTCACCATCTGCTCGCCCACAGAAAACCATACTTAATCATCTAGAGCCGCGGACATTATTTTAAGTCTCACGGCCCACCAGTGGACCACAGCCCACAGGTTGCGAACCACTGCCTTACATATACATAGCCTGAAAGTAATTTTTTAAACAATTTTTAAAGTTAGCACATGAAACAATGTTTGTGTTCACTGAATCATCAGAAAGCAAAGATGTCACTATCCCAGGCATCTGAGTAGACCATTTTGGAGCTGTTTGGATTTCACATTTCCAGGTAAGGGATACTCAATCTGTATTACTTCTGTCATACTGGTACTCTGACACTGTATCTACAAACTCTCCTCCCAAGGGCTGTCACTTTTTGTCATACAGGTAAAACCTGTTTTCCTCCAGTTTATAAAAGTAATGCATTTAAAACCATATTACCCAGCATATTTCAGAATAATATTCATATTTTAAATAGTGCTAATTTAATTTTCTTAGATCCAAACACAGTAAAGATAACCAGGTCCTAAGGGTTTAATTGCAAATAGCTTAAAGCAACTATAGAAGTAGCAGGATTAAAAAAAATCAAAATATTTAGAATGACAATGTTGCTTCTTTTTGGCCATATTTTGCTTCACAATTTAGATGTTTCATCCTCTCTTATTCTGATTTTTTTCTCTCGGTTCATTCAGCAGAGTGTTAACTAATCTTCAAAGACATATTCTTCAAAACACACCCAATTTGCCCTGCATTCCGCTTGGCAGAGGTATGAACAGCACATTAACCACAAAGTCTGATCTGCAATTGACATGTTTGCTCTTGAATATTACATCAAAAATTCTGCACACAGACCAGAGTGGATCTACACTATATAATTAATGCAGCTTGACACCATTTTAAGAGCTCTAGTTCAATACTATGGAATCATAGGATTTGTAGTTTGGTGAGGCACCAGCACTCTTTGACAGTGATCTTGTAAAATTACAACTCCCACAATTCCAATGCATTGAGCCATGGCAGTTAAATTGCACTATATTTTATTATAGTTCGAATTCTTAACTTATGTGTACTATGTTTTGTGTTTGCCTTGTCTATTTTATTGTTATTAAGTTATTTTTGACAGTCTGCATTTATTATTATTTGTTTCTATTTTCTTTGTTATAAACTGCTTCAGGTCCCTTCAAAGAGAGAGAGAGGGATATAAATAAATTATTATTATTATTATTATTATTATTATTATTATTATTAAGTAGTGTCAAAAAAATTAATTCTACAGTACAGATTTCTATCAGGTGCACATACTTCCATATCTGCCAACAGTAAGCTATCCTGATAATGCTAGGCATTTAAAATAAAAACACAGTCAAAGTGTTTCATATTGAGAATCTAATTACTGAACAATTCTTTGTTTCTTTATTCTACAGTGAAAATCTCCATGAAAATATGTTGAACACAGGCTTTCCTTCCTGTCACTGCTAGCAGGAAACAGCCTTGGGTTTGGGCTGGTCACATATCCACAGGACTCCTGTATTATTATCCAGGTATCATAGAAACTACTTGGGAAGCAGGGGAAAAAAAACATGTTGGTCATACAGATCTTAATTTTTTCAAATACCAGTTGTCATCTGAGATGTGACCCTCACATGCTTGAGAGGAGAAGACAGAAGTAAGAGACAGAAGTAAAAATCCCTGAATGAATAGATACAGATATGGGGGAGGGGCAGTGATAAATGGAAACAAAAAGCAGGGATTCCTCAGGGTCTGTTAAAATACTAGCTTGGTTCAGATATTTTCATGTGGCTACATACCTATCCTATACAGTCTTCTTATCATGGACTGTTACCTAGCATTAAACCATAGGTCCTTAGTCCAGGTGTAATGTAGAATTCTGGCATAATGCAAGCCAGCATGTCTGCATTGAAATGTGTCCTCATAAACCCACGGTCTGAAAAACTATTTTGTGAGTATTTGTTGACCCTAATAAGGACATTGTCCTAAGAATATATAAGTAAGACTGTGATGTATTCCAATGTCTTTTGGGCAAACAAATAAATTGAGCTGCACTTGGAACCTAGGATTACAAGAGGAAAGTCTCATGTTATCCATGAAATTACACTAATCTTTCTGATTTGTCACCTCAAGAAGGAGGCATATATGCAATAATGTAGATATTTATCTGAAAGTAAGCCTTACTGAATCCAATGGAGCTCACTTCTCAGTAGAACTTTACAGAATTGCTATTAAAAATAATAAATAGAAACATCAATAATTTTCTCTTTAGACTTCTTGTGAATCTGTGTCAGAATATATTCAGAAAGAAAGCTCCATATTACCTACACAAAGTCTGTATCACCTGCCTCGGTATACTGACTTGGTCACATATCCTTGCCTTTTCCCAGAAGAACTCACACTGATTTCTCATTTGCTCGCAAAGAAGCTTGGCATGTATGCAGCTGAAATGATTACTGTTGCAATATGCCAATCAACACCTGGTTATATTTGAAGCACACTGCTATGGAAACACAGCAGTTTAGACACGTACAGTCTTCAAATGGCCTGAGTGTTTTCTACCTATTATCTGACAAAAGTAAGGCGAATGTACAAATAAAGCTATGTTGTAAAATACCTTTCCAAATTTTCCTCAAGTAACTAAAGCTAACTGTTTCTTCTGAGTCTGTTCGGGAAGATAGAGTGGATTATAAATAAAGTTATTATCACTACTACTACTACGAGTTTTTATAGTACTGGGAATGAAGGCGAAGCCCTTCTTTTGTTTTAATACATTCTAGCTTTCTAAGCAGATGGCATTTGCTGTATTCAACAAGAGTCTGAAAGACAAGAACTGGTAATTGAACCTGGAAATATTTGTCACAGGTGCAAAACAATGACAGACATGAATCCTCTTTTTGTCCTGACTAGAATAGACCCATTGAATCTATTAGATTCATCTATGCATCTAATGCTACTCGAGACTAACCAACCAGATGACAGCCATATTCTCCAATGAAATTAATCATTTATATTCCTTAATCTTATGTAAACTAGCAGAGCAATGGACTATATTTTTCATCACAGAAATCAAGATAGCATTAAGAAACAGATACATGTTTTGCACCCCTTATAAAAATGGAATTAGAAGTGTTTTGGATTTTTGAGACACAAGTCTAAACACAATATTCAGTTGTATTTCATACACACCTTATACATACAAGCTGAAGGTAATTTGATACACCATATTTTTTAATAATTTTGTACACTGAACCATGAGAAACCTAATGTATTACCATCTCAGTCATCCATGTGGACAATTTTGGAGCATTATGGATTTGGGAGCTCTGGAGAAGGAATGCTCAACCCGTATTACAATCCTTATCACACACACACACACACACACACACACACACACACACACACATATATATATATATATATATATGAATGAATGATAAGGATTGTAATACGGGTTGAGCATTCCTTCTCCAGAGCTCCCAAATCATATATATATGACAGAAATGAAATTTTAAAATACCACAGAGGTAAAGACTCAGGACTAAAGCTCAACAATATAATAATTTATTTTGTTCTGTAATTCATTAGCATATTTAAAATTGCCACAATCATCCAACAAACAAGCACATTTTAAAAAAATCCCTTGTCATCCACAGAGAACAATTCTTTTTCTGATCAGATATAAAACACAAAATGTAAACTACCAATTATTCAGACCAAGTAAGTGATTAGTGCTTCAGACCCTGTCTAGCAAAAGAAAAATGAACATGAAGCTCGACAATGGACTTACACTCCACTGAGGACATTGATTGATTGTGTCCTTAAGCCATAGCCAGTGTCTTTCAAATTGGCAATAATTCCTAACACGTCAATGCTGGAACCTTTAGTTCCAAAGTCTTTTTCAGAATACATGATCATGTGAGGCTGTGAAAAACTCTGTAAAACAAAAAACAAAACAAAAAAAGGGGGGGGGGGATAAAATAAATAAATCAGAACTAAAATACAAGCAAATAATATACTAGTCATAAATTAGGCATCTTGTGCACAGGTGTGATAAAAAACCAAAATATGATTCGATTTCTGTTAGTGTTCTAACCTTTCCTGTGGGAAACTTTTATAATTTTTAGGATTATAGAAGGGGGGTGCACTGGGATTATCGGGTGCTTCCACCACATGCCAATTTGCCTCCTAAATGAATGTACTTTCGAAAGACCTTGTAATATCCAAATTTAGGACTGTAGTTCACGAACCAGTAAGCACCACCACACCAGGCTGAATATAGTTCAACCTGTTTGATTTTGGAAACAAAGCTGACATGGTCTGACTCAGTTATAGAGAAGTTTCCTCTCTTTATAGCTTGCTTCCACATGTGCTTCATTCCAGTAGGATTAGGCAAGGAAGTACAGGTGTGCCAAGGATGGCAGAAGTAACAAAATATTTTTCTTTGCCCTGCCCTTCTTTTTCACTCTGAAATTGTGTATGGTAGACTGACAAGCATATAATCTTTGTGTGTAAGAGAGTAAGTATAATGGCACCACACGAATAAAAGAAATGGCCTTGCTAAAGGTGGCAGCAGAATGTCCATAGGGCAATGGGTGCTCAATACACCCATAATACAAAAAATAAATAAATAAAATAAAATAAAAATACAGCAAGCACTTGATGTTTTTCTAGGCCTGCACTTGTGTAGCATAATTCTTGAACTTACCCCTAGAATAGGCCGTAGTGACTGCACCTGCTCATTGTAACCACCCCAGTCCATCCATTCCTTGTATTCTCCTTCTTCCAGTAAATACTGGTGTCCTGTAAACTCAGGCTTTTCATATGCAACCCATCTAATGAATGGTAAGGAGAAAAAAAAGATTTAACCACAAGAGGAAATTTGGTGGTAGTATATGAACAATAATTTTATCACAAAAAAGAAAATAAAGACAAAGAATATGCCCTACAATTGCAATGAGAGCGGTGTATATACATACATTTATATTTTATATTGAAATTTATTTTATTAATAGTGCCTAATGTAGCTGTGTCCAATGTAATGAGCACACTGTCATGCTATATATGTCTACCCAGTGCAAGAAAGTGGACTATATTCTACACTAGCAAGAACTAACTAAATGCAGTTCCTATGACATTTACGTTTGTAAATAGATCATGCAACAAGTTTAAAAATAAGCAAAACTTACTATGTTGCATTTGTATTTACTTAACCACCATTCAAACATATTAACTATGTTTGGATTTACTTTTGAGTCATCATACAAATGTCAACAATACGCTTCACAGCATAAACAGCAGACAGCTATATAATTTCCATAATATCCAAGATATATTTATGAGGAGATAGATATATTTGCACACAGATGTATAATGCACATGTATTAACAATGGTTTCACTCATTAGGGAAAATAGGGTTAATAATTTTTTAAATGTCAGGAGCGACTTGAGAAACTGCAAGTTGCTTCTGGTGTGAGAGATTTGGCCATCTGCAAGGACGTTACCCAGGGGACACCCGGATGTTTGAAGTTTTAGCAATCTGGTGGGAGGTTTCTCTCATGTCCCTGCATGGGTAACTGGAGCTAACAGAGGGAGCTCAGCCCGCTCTCCCTAGATTGGGTTTGCAAACAGTGAGACAAATGAGCCAAAGAAACACAACACAAGGGCTTAACACATTGCACCACCAGGGGCTCCTAATAGGGTTAATACCATATTATTATGGACTGGATCCAGACTTCATAACTTAAAGCAAAGTAAGGGTGGAATTACACTGACCCGAAACCCAGAGTTGATCTTGCATGCTGGGCTGACCCCAAGTTTTGTCCTCAAAGGGACTCCCCCAGCTAGTGCGAAGGTGGGAGAGAGTCTCCACCACTCACTAGTGCCAAACATGATGTGGCGCTGCTGGGCAGCCACACTAACCTGTTCACTGTTGCTTGCCATGACAGCAGCGAAGGAAAGTGATGGGGTCCTGAGGGAGGAGGAAGAAGAGGAAACTACCTCTACTCCCTCTCCTTCCCAGCATTCCCTGTCACACCCAGCTGATGTCACAGCAAGTGACAGAGAACAGGTAAATACATGTGTCATGGGCAGTGACCACTGCGATACAGTTGGCAGGAGGAGACTGTTATCTGGTCTCTCTAGCCCACCTGAGCCTGGGAAATGTGGGATGGTAGTGGAGACAGTTGCACCTTGTACTCTTTGGGAACTAGCCCAATTGGGCCCTACGTTTGGGTGGGGGGAAGCAAAAATTCTAGGACAGAATTCAAACTTTCCCTGGCTTTAGGTAATGCGGGGCAAGGCTTGCCCCATGAATTTGGCTGCTGTGGGGCTGATCCTCATGCAGGTCAACAACAATCTGATTTTAGCCATGATTAATTGTGATCCCAAAGTTTCAATGGGAGCACTTTACACCATATCCACTGTATTCCCTGGAATGTGATGAAAAGATTTTTCCCCCTTTTGTTTGAATTGTGTGCACTTATTGCAATGGCTTTCAGCAAATCATTATTCATCATGATGAAGATGGACAACTTGGTTGGTTTTCAAAATCACAAACCACATGCATAGCTACCAGATGAAATGACAATTTTGAATGCCTTATACTTACACTCCTTCTTTCACTTTTATGGATCCTATTGATGTTAGTCCTTTCCCCAACACTGCTGATTCATCCTTCTGTTTTCCTTCTTCAGTCAGAGCAATTAATTTTGAGTCATGTTCTATGTGTTTCCCTTCAAAGAATGGCTTCTCATAAATTATTATCTTTAGAAAAAAAGGAGTATAAAAATTCAGTACTACACTTTACCCAATAGGTTCCTATGGCAAACTTGTAAGATAAGCCTTTAAGAAAGAGTATGAAAGTCGTTTTGGCAGATTTTTGGACAATTGAGAACACTGCGGAGCACTGAAGATAAAACTCCACCACTTCAGCAAAAGTACAAATATTGGATCCTGTGATGTCAAAATATAATGAAAACAATTTGCAATAGTACTAAACAAACTAAAATAAATAAATTAAATACAAGTAAATATATTAATAAATCCAAGGCTATCAAATTTAGCCTAAAGAGAAAATCCCACAATACTTGCTTCCAACTGATAAGAACATGATTGTAAGCCAAAGCTAAAAGAATAAGATCAAACTTTTCTAACTCAAATTTTTATATCTCCCTGAGAAGTGTTTGATACTACCATTAAAAAAAAGATAAAAAGTCTTGAGATCCCTGATAAAAAGCATCTTCTAAAAGCTGAGAACTGAATTCAATGTTTTAAAATAACATATTTTCCACCAAGTATCTTGACTTAACCCTTAAACAAATAATGGGGAGGGCTTCCAAATGCATTTGATTAGTAGTGAGAAAAGACATATATAATAATGTATCTTGGTTAAAATACCTTCAAAAATTATAAAAGGCATTACTTGAAACCAGGCAATAAATAACTATTTTCTCAAACGGAACATGAAGAGAACTATGGACTTGAAATATATTTAAATAATTATACTATAGAGGGATTGTCTTTTTGCATTTGAAAGTTGTAACATCTTCCTCTCGAAATGTCATATTTATTTATTTACTTTGCTTATATACCGCTGTATCTCAAGCCCGAAGGCGACTCACAGCGGTTCACAGTAGAAACAGTAGAAACAGCAGTGGTTCCATACAACATATAACAATTGACTTAACACATTATCCATAAATTACCATTAAGCAATTACAATGCACAATTATTACAAAAAACAACCGTACCCAATCTTCTCATCATCCAAGCGTAGTCCAGATTCGTCGTCCATTGTTCCATTCCTATGTTCCATTACCAGATTGCACTAAATTACTCAAACGCCTGCACAAACATCCAGGTCTTCACCTTTTTGCGGAATACCATTAGAGATGGTGCTAGTCTAATGTCCGTAGGAAGGGCGTTCCACAGCCGAGGAGCCACCACCGAGAAGGCCCTATCTCTCGTCCCCGCCAGCCGAGCTTGAGAAGCAGGCGGGATCGAGAGCAGGGTCTCCCCGGAAGATCTCAAAGTCCTGGTGGGTTCATAGGCAGAGATGCGGTCGGATAGGTAGCTTGGGCCGGAACCGTTTAGAGCTTTAAAGGCCAACGCCAGCACTTTGAATTCAGCCCGGTAGCAGATCGGTAGCCAGTGGAGTTGGCGCAACAGGGGGGTTGTATGCTCCCTGCGCTCCGCTCCTGTTAAAATCATGGCTGCCGAGCGTTGGACTAGTTGGAGCTTCCGAGCTGTCTTCAAAGGCAACCCCACGTAGAGAGCGTTGCAGTAGTCTATACGGGATGTAACCAGAGCGTGGACTACCGTGGCCAAGTCAGACTTCCCAAGGTACGGGCGCAGCTGGCGCACAAGTTTTAACTGTGCGAATGCTTCCCTGTCACCGAAACCTGGGGTTCCAGGCTCAGCGGTGAGTCCAGGATCACACCCAAGCTGCGAACCTGCGTCTTCAGGGGGAGTGTAACCCCATCCAACACAGGCTGTAACCCTATACCCTGTTCGGCCTTGCGACTGACCAGGAGTACCTCTGTCTTGTCTGGATTCAGTTTCAATTTGTTCGCCCCCATCCAGATCCGTCACAGCGGCCAGGCACCGGTTCAGGACCTCGACAGCCTCCTTAGTAGCAGGTGGAAAGGAGTGACAGAGTTGGACATCATCTGCGTACAGATGACACCGCACCCCGAAACTCCGGATGATCTCACCCAGCAGCTTCATGTAGATATTAAACAGCATGGGGGACAGTATAGAACCCTGTGGAACCCCACAGGTCAAAGGCTGTGGTGTTGAACAGGAGTCCCCCATACACCTTCTGAGATCGACCCTCCAGGAATGACCGGAGCCACTGCAAAACAGTACCTCCAAGACCCATCCCTGTGAGGCGTCCCAGAAGGATACCGTGGTCGACGGTATCGAAGGCCGCTGAGAGGTCCAGCAGCACCAACAGGGACACACTCCCCCTGTCGAGCTCCCGGCGCAGATCATCCACTAAGGCGACCAAGGCTGTCTCGGTACCATGTCCCGGCCTAAAGCCAGACTGTGCCGGGTCTAAATAATCCGTGTCTACCAAGAATACCTGGAGTTGTGAGGCCACCACACATTCCAAGACTTTGCCCAAGAAGGGGAGATTGGAAACTGGCCGATAGTTGTCGAATTTAGTGGGGTCCAGTGATGGTTTCTTCAACAGCGGTTTTATTATAGCTTGTTTTAAGCTCGCTGGAATCTTGCCTTCCCGAAGGGAAGCATTAACCACCACCTTAACCCACTCAGCCAATCCCCCTCTGGCCTCCTTTAGAAGCCAGGATGGGCAGGGGTCCAGGATGCATGTGGTTGGCCTCATTCCTCCAAGTATCTTGTCCACATCCTCGGGTTTCACCAATTGAAATGAATCCATCAAAACTGGACAAGCAGGTGCTCGTGTTACATCCTCAGAGACTGCCATTAACATGGTATCCAGACCAGAACGGATCAAAGCGGATCAAATTATGATCACATAATTTCTCATTCATAGCAAAATTCTTCAAAATTTACAGCACAACACTCTTTCTCTGTAGAAAATAGACTTCTGAATAGCAAAATATCCTCAATACACACTTCTCACTTGAGTACTGAAATTCTTCCCTCAATGAGCAGAGAAATATTACTTGGCAAAATTGTATTAAGCAATCTTTTGGTAAGAGATCACATGGTATCAGGATGTATATGGGTCTGGTATGTTATAGTATGTATTCCATATATTAATTTCAACATTTCCTTTGTATTTATAGAACACTAGCTGTATCCGGCCACGCATTGCTGTGGCCCATTGTGGAGAAATGGGAAAAAAAGAAAAGAGGAAAAGCTGGTTTCTATACTATCAATACACAACTGAAGTGGCAAAGTGTCAATCTAATATAGGCCCATTTCAGTCTCCTCGAGGACAAAGGGTTATATGGATGTGTGGAAGGGCCCTGAGTTACCTGAGTCCACACTGCCATATAACCCAATTCAAAGATATTATATAGGTATTACTATTATTTATATAGGTTATTATTATTATAGATGTATAGATGTTATTATAGGCATGTAGATATTATTATTATTATTATTATTATTATTATTATTGACACAGATATTATTATTAATGGCATATAGGTATTATTATTACAGATGTATGGATATTATTATTACCTACTATAGATATTATAGGCATCTAGTTGTTATTATTATGATTATAGATATGATATAGCTGTTAATATTACAGAGGTGGAGCCCCTGGTGGTGCAATGGGTTAAACCCTTGTGCCAGCAGGACTGAAGACCGACAGGTCGCAGGTTTGAATTCTGAGGAGAGCGCAGATGAGCTCTCTCTGTCAGTTCCAGCTCCCCAAGCAGGGACATGAGAGAAGCCTCCCACAAGGATGGGAAAACATCAAAACATCCAGGCAATGTCCCCTGGGCAGACCTCCTTGCAGACGGGCAATTCTCTCACACCAGAAGGGACTTGCAGTTTCTCAAGTCACTCCTGACACTAATTTTTTTTACAGAGGTATAGATATTTTTATTAGTCTTGACATAGATATTCTTATATGTGTATAGATATTATTATTATTATTATTATTATTATTATTGATATGATATTGCTATTATTATTACAGAGGTACAGATATTTTATTATTATAGGCATATAGGTTTTATTATTATATATAAATATTATTGACAGACAGATATTATTATAGACCTACAGATATTATTATAGGCACTAGATATTATCATTACAGACATGCAGATATTATTATAGACATGTAGATATTGTTATAGACATATAGATATTATTATAATAGACCTATAGTTTCCCCGCGTGGTATGCCTGTGATTCACACCAATGGTATTCCCTGCGCTCGCGCAGGCCAGCAACGGACACTCACGAGCTAACTCACTGACCGTTAGGTAGCCCCGCCCCTTTCTCTCCACTCCATAAATAGCCTATGTTTACAGGTAAGCAACCTATATATATTATTATTACAGACATAGATATTATTATTAAAGCCTGATAGATATTATGAGAGATATATCGATATTATTATTGTAGATATTGTAGCCCAGGGTTGTTATAAAATAAAAATGGATGGCCTTCTGTCGGGAGTTATTTGATTGTGCCTTCCTGGACAGCGTTTCTTGTTTTTGTCATTTCTTTGAGTACTGGACTTCATTTCTGAGAATTCCTTCCCATAACTCAATATGGGTGAACTTTCTGGGAGCTGAAGTGTGCAGAGATGTGTGTGTGTGTATACACTTACAGAGACACACAGAATCCCTCCCATGCGAGTTCCCAGGCAGCCATGAGGGAAAGTGAAGGAAAGGGAGGGGAGGGGGTGGATCTGGAGGAGAGTGCCCTCTCTCTCTCTCTCTCTCTCTCTATCCTTCCTCCCTCTCTCCCCTCCCTCTCCTGTCGGGCTTTTTAAACTGCCCAAGCAACAATGCAGTGGGAGAAAAGGAAGGAAGGCAAGCAGGCAGAACCTCCAGGATGAAGAGCAGGCTGGCTCTAGGTGGCTCTAGAGCAGGCTGGCTCTCGGCTGGCAAGAAGGACATTATACTCCTATTGATGCAGGTCAAAATCCCATTGGCTTTTTTGCCGTTGTCCATAAGGACTTCAAGATCTTTTTCACACGTACTGCTCTCGAGCCAGGCATTGTCTCCCATTCTGTATCTTTGCATTTCATTTTTCTGCCTAAGTGGAGCATCTTGCATTTGTTACTGTTGAACTTCATTTTGTTAGTTTTGGCCAATCTCTTTAAATTGTTAATATTGTTTTGAATTCTACTCCTGTCTTCCTGGGTATTGGCTATCCCTCCCAAACAAATGTTTCAGTAAACACAACTGCAGTTTGAAGCACTCGATGGAGACCTATATTTGGAACAATATAAATATTATGGGTAAGTGACTTAAGATGTGTTGTCAGCAATAAGAACTGGCGGCACATTAATAATTGTTCATATGATAGGCGGCTAAGTTCACAAAAACATTATTACAAATAGATCTAGTAATTACATATTTAAATAGGCAAAATAGATATTGAAATATTTTACCTTTGGGCTTGCAGGATACTCAACTTTACGTCCACCCTACAAAAATAGGAAAAAAAATTGCTGGAAAATTATTTCATTTTTCATTCAGTAAGACTAGACCATAACAAAATATTGAAATGACTATTAATAAGATCTCAAAATGGAAGCTAAGGCATATTCTAAAATATATTTATTGCATTGGCTTCCTCCAACAGAAGAAATTCTTTGAATCCAACAATTTTATGGAAAAAATACGATTTTTTTGAACTGTCTCTAGCTATTTGAATTCTAAATGACTTTACAGTTCACACTGAAATTGTGGTCCATGATCAGTTTTGAAAATGTATATCTCATATATCATTATCTCACCATTTTCAAGGGCCTCAATGACCTAATATATGCATCTTTCCTTTCCCAAAACGATAGATTAGGATATTCTCCAGGTTCCAACATTAAAGGAATTCCCAGAAAACCAGGTTCTTCATATAGTAGCCATCTATAAATAGGAAACAAAGAAAGAAATTTGAAAATGGAATTCCTTAAAATTCAAAAAATGTCTAAAGAAAGATCCAGTGAGGAATGCCAAAGGTTGAAACTCAGGAATGTTTTTCTATGACTGAACGGATACCATTTACAGAACACATTCACTCACTCTGCCATTCACTCCTGAAATGTGCTCTGGAAGATTTGAAAATTCTCCTGAACACACCAGGGAAAAATGGGAATATAAGGGAGTGGAGAACAAGCACAAAGCTTACTCCGTGAAACTCTACTCAATTGACGTTGAAAGGAATCCAAGGAAGCCCCATTAAAGACATTCTTATTTTGCCAAAGCATCATAACCAAGTTTAAAAAAATCCTACATAACTATCTAGGAGGAATTTCTATGGAATTTAATGGAACGTGCTTGCAAATAAATGTGTATATATACATAAGGCTAAGGTGTCATTGTATCCTATCATCTGAATAATGGACTATAGCATTAGCAATTTGTGGCTTGTGTAGTGAGGTATTAAGAGCCTTGTGGCACAAGCAGAAGTTTGTTAATTCCTCTCTTGATCACTGTGCATGCAACATAACAGCAACAATCCAGCATTAATATGCCAAGGCATTTTTCTTTTTAATAATGTTCATTTGGCTCTAGCCCACATCAAGCTTTTTCTTCTTCTGTTCACTATCATTTTCTGCAAATCTTATAAATAATGTTTTAAAACTGTGTGTGCTTATTTTTTACTGTGCATTTTTTAACTTTGTTGTAACCTGTTTTGAGTTCCAAACTCGGAAGAACATGGAGCATAAATGGCTATTATGGGAAGAGACGGGTAAGAAATAAAATTATTATTATTACTATTACTACTACTATTACTCTATTAATACACACTTCTCTTTTAGACATGTTGAAGGATGTGTACCACTATTTTTTACAAGACACTTTGATTCAGTGTCAGAGTTTTAAAATTAGATTTAGCTGCAGAGGTTAATGGACCCAATTTTGTAGATTCCATTAAGATAAAGCAACTTAACATGGCACATTGAACTCCCAAAGTTCATCATTCTGGTCTGTCATTCTACCTTGCCAGGAAATAAAAATACTGATATCCAATAATGGAAATGTTTTTCATGTGCTTTCATAAAAAATGTTATATTCATAACAGATTATAAAAATTGGGCAAATGTGATAATCACAAACAGCAGCAGTCTCAGTCATCTTTCATCCTATGGCTACTTAAATTAACAAAAGCTATTCACATCAAATGAATGTTGCAGTAAACACATTTAACCTTAACACCTGCCAGTCATCCCTTAGTTTTAGCCTTTTTCCTTCTCAAATGTCGAAATTATGCAGACAATATAAGACTGGTCTAACTTGTGGAATTATCATGAAGATTAGTGTAAAGCTCTTTTAAGTGCCTGCAAATGTTTAAGACAAAGAGTGGTCACATTTCTATTCATATTTTCTAATGTTTTTAAGTGCCAAATTAATCTGCCTAGCTGTTGTTAAGATATGGATGCAAGTACGTGTCAAGGCATGTCCACAGCACTATTCTCATACTTGTCATTCTCAGAATACCCAGCCTCACCATGACCCATTTTCATGAGTGAGCTTTGAAGAAAGATCAAACTACAAAAACTAAGATTGCAAATACAATGATACATTAGGAAAGCATATTTTGTCCAGTAAAAGATTTGGACAGCATAAGCAGAGGTCTTATTCACCATCTCCCTGCCAAACATTTTTAGAAGAACTAATAATGAATAACAAATATTTCTCAAATCTTGAAGAAGGTGCAATGGAGGATCAGAACCTAATCCTCTTGTGCAAACAAACATCCAGTCAAATATTTTTAAGCAGCTCATGATGGAATAACACAAAGGTTTTCATTCTGATCACCACTGATTACCACAACACAATGTAAGTAACTATGCTTTAGCTTTATCAAAGAATAAAAAAAACGTGATTTGTGAGATGACAGAACAATGCAGGGCACCTGCAAAGAAGGCTGAATCAGAGTCTGCATGCTTCTCAAGATTCAGGACTGGCAGTTTTAATACAGAGAAACAGAAGCTATGTCTACTCCAGGCAAAATATTCTGGAGTAGCCCCAGCATGGGAAATTCACACGTACTTGAAGCTCTTTTAAAGACCCGAAGCACTCCAATCTTAGCAATTTTGGGGAGGAATGTTGAAGTAATACATGTATTACAAGATCACTCCATGTATGTGTCTCTGTGTGTGCGTGCCTTAAAATACGGTAGTGTGTTTACTTATGGTGACCTAATGAATTTCAAACGCAAGAGTATTGTTAGGCAAGAGTCATTCAGAAATAGCTTAGCCAGTTTCTTTTTCTGAAATACAGTCTACAGCACCTGTATCTGTTGGTGTACTAACTAGGGCCAATCAATAAATATTTTCTGATAGTTCTTTCTCCCAAGAGCAAGAATGTGTAGCAATCATTGCTCCCTTCAGGTCCTTCTAAATGTGCCACTTTATATCCACCTCTCGCCTATTTGGTGACAGTCACTGACAGTTAAAAGCTTTAGAACATTTTTCATCCTTATTTCCATGGTCAGTAAAGGTATGACTTGACACACAATTTAATTTGAAGAAGAGTCAGATACATTGAAGAGGAGCCAGATCAATAAAATCTTTTAGTTTATTGATCTGGCCGTAGTATGGCTCTGACCTGCATAACTTGAAGTCTCTGGATAAACCTGAGCTTCTCTGTCTAATCAACTGTGCTGCTTCACAATTGATTAGATGCAATTCCCTCAGGCAATATGGGAAAAGGGGACAGCAACTGCCCCCCCCCTCCAATTTTTCTTAGCACCTGGAAATATGCTATCCAATGCATCAAGAAGATAGGAGGGTGGAAGGGGAAGAGGAACTACTCCTCTTCCCCTTCCATATCCCCCATCTCCCTGGTGTGCTAAATAGCATCATTCCAGGCACTAAGAAAAGTCTCCCTCTATATTGGTGTCCAACAGGTACCACTATGGTAAGTTCAGATGGGAGCACAGATTGGATAGTGAGTAGAAGAAGCAAGACAATTTCGTTGGAAGTGTAATTACCTCCAATGTCAATCTGGAGTAGCCCACTCTGGATCAGAATAAAAATAACTGATCTGTCAAGTTGCACTTTGGAAATCTTTTTTTTTAATCAACGGAAAACTCTATGATACAGGCCAGGCTCAAAAGTCATATAGCCATGAAGAAGGAAAATTAAATTACTTCTGCTTTCCAAATGTGAACAAAAGATGAGTACAGGCAGTCCCTGAGTTACAAACATCCAAAACAGTGAAGTATGTGGGTGGGACAACAGGAAGTAAGAGAAATCTACCCCTAGGAAGGGAAATTCACTCCTGAAAGAATTATCATGGGGAAAAGGTGTCTCCACTGAAGACACAGGCAGGAAAACAAACACCACAGCTATATTATCCAAAGTATATACACACACACAGCTAATGTTAAACTTTTAAAATGTACCTGTACCGTCTTACATACAAATTCAAGTTAAGAACAAATCTACAGAGCCTATCTTGTTTGTAACTTGGGGAAGGCCTGCACAGGTTAACTCTGGTTGCCAAAGCCTCTGATAGTGAAGTTCCTTTTTCATATTTCATATGTAAAACATTTATCAATAAATCATATCTTAAATTATCATCATTCATTAAAAGACTGATACAAAAGAAAGTGTAATGCAATGCATAAGTCTACAGATACATACATATATACATACATATTCATTTATTCATTCATTCATGTATATCCATGAACTTACATGCCCCAGTGCACTCGGATTGAAGAAGTCTTCTGCGGAGAACCAAATCGTGTTTCTTCTGTATCATCAAAATATGAATTCACAAGACCTAAACCATCTGGTTCTGTAAACAGGTCAATTCGGCATAGTCTATAATCCTGGCAAAATAATAAAATGAAATTTAAAATATGTAAAGGAGATGTGGGGAAAGTATAGTCATTTTTCCAGGTAATGATCCTCTCCTCTTTTTCTTGCAAAAAAGGAATAAATTGTCATGTTGTCCAAGCCTCCAGCAACAACAATTTATTTACTTGTTCAATAGGCCACAACCCACTATGCATTGTTGTTGTTCATTCGTTCAGTCGTCTCCGACTCTTCGTGACATCATGGACCAGCCCACGCCAGAGCTCCCTGTCGGCCGTCACCACCCCCAGCTCCTTCGAGGTCAGTCCAGTCACTTCAAGGATGCCATCCATCCATCTTGCCCTTGGTCGGCCCCTCTTCCTTTTACCTTCCACTTTCCCCAGCATAATTGTCTTCTCTAGGCTTTGCTGTCTCCTCATGATGTGGCCAAAGTACTCAACTTTGTCTCTAGTATCTTTCCCTCCAGTGAGCAGTCGGGCTTTATTTCCTGGAGGATGGACTGGTTGGATCTTCTCGCAGTCCAAGGCACTCTCAGCACTTTCCTCCAACACCACAGCTCAACAGCATCAATCTTCCTTCGCTCAGCCTTCCCTAAGGTCCAGCTCTCACATCCGTAGGTTACTACAGGGAATACCATGGCTTTGACTAGGTGGATCTTTGTTGCCAGTGTGATTCTCTACTCTTTACGATTTTATCGAGACTGGACATTGCTCTCCTCCCAAGAAGTAAGCGTCTTCTGATTTCCTGACCACAGTCTGCATCTGCAGTATGCATTGTTTAACATTAAAACACTAATTTTTATTTTTTTTGGTCATATTTGGGGATTTTGTTGTTAGTCTGAACAGTTCCCAGAGGAAAGCAAGTTGGTACTAGGCTCACTGAGTTTGCCAATCCTAGTATAGCAACAGCTTCTGAGCCTTCATGCTGGCACTGACTGTTATTCCTCACTAAAGCAATTGTTGCATGTCTCCAAGTCATTTTTGACTTATGGCAAACCTAAGGGTTTTCTTAGAAAAAATTGTTCAAGGGGGTTTTTTCACTGCATTTTTCTGAGGCTGAGAGAATGTGACCTGCCCAAGATCATACAGTGGTTTTCCATTGCCAAGCAGGGATTCAAACCCTGGTCTCTAGAGCAGCGGTTCTCAACCTGGGGGTCACGACCCCCCGGGGGGTCGCCTGGCCATTTTCGAGGGGTCGCGAGGCAGTCTCCGTTGGCCCCGCCCCCTCATCAAAATGGCTCCCCACAGGGTGGATGGCTCACGTTTCCCGCGCCTCCCCCCGAGCCCGGCGGGAAGCGCGAGGAGGCCAAAATGCTCCCCGCAGGGCCCAGGGCCTGCCTGGGAGCACGGCTTGGCCTCCTCGCGCTTCCCCCCGAGCCCGGCGGGAAGCGCGAGGAGGCCAAAATGCTCCCCGCAGGGCCCAGGGCCTGCCTGGGAGCACGGCTTGGCCTCCTCGCGCCTCCCCCCGAGCCCGGCGGGAAGCGCGAGGAGGCCAAAATGCTCCCCGCAGGGCCCAGGGCCTGCCTGGGAGCACGGCTTGGCCTCCTCGCGCTTCCCCCCGAGCCCGGCGGGAAGCGCCAGCTGGCCAAAATGCTCCCGGCAGGGCCCAAGCCCTGCCTGGGAGCGGGATTTGGCCTCCCCGCGCTTCCCGCCGGGCTCGGGGGGAAGCGCCAGCTGGCCAAAATGCTCCCGGCAGGGCCCAAGCCCTGCCTGGGAGCGGGATTTGGCCTCCCCGCGCTTCCCGCCGGGCTCGGGGGGAAGCGCCAGCTGGCCAAAATGCTCCCGGCAGGGCCCAAGCCCTGCCTGGGAGCGGGATTTGGCCTCCCCGCGCTTCCCGCCGGGCTCGGGGGGAAGCGCCAGCTGGCCAAAATGCTCCCGGCAGGGCCCAAGCCCTGCCTGGGAGCATGGCTGGCTGTGAGGCCGGAGGCAGCCATGTGGGCTGAAGCAGCTTTGCCAGAAGCAGGCTCCTTCCTCACGCTGCTTCTGTCCTTCCTGGGCCCAGCTGGGCCCCAACGGAGTGCAGTGAAGGAGGACCTCAGCTCAGCGACCTGCCTGCCTGCCTTCCTGTCTGCCTGACTTCCTGGGCCAAGAGGTGAAAACTCTCATTATTATTATTATTATTGTTGTTGTATTATTAAGGCTGGATGGCCATCTGTCAAGGGTGCTTTGATTGTGCTTTCCCTCCATGAAAGTAGAATGAAGGAGGTTGGACTATATGGCCTTTAGAGGTCCCTTCTAAATCTGTTGTTTTTGTTATTATTATCTATGGGTGGTCATCTATCATGGGTGCTTTGATTGTGCTTTTCATGCATGAAGGCAGAAGGGAGTTGGACTAGATGGCCCAAGGGGTCTCTCCCAGCTCGTTTTTGTTGTTGTTGTTGTTGAGGCTGAATGCCAAGTTTGGTTTAATTCCATTTCTGTTTGAGTTCAGAATGCTCTTTAATGGCAGGGAAACTATATATCCCCAGAACTCCCAAAAGCCAAGGTCTATTTTCCCCAAACCTCTTTGGTATTTTCTGTTAGGCATGGGATTTCTGTATGCCAAGTTTGGTTTAATTCCATTTCTGTTTGAGTTCAGAATGCTCTTTAATGGCAGGGAAACTATATATCCCCAGAACTCCCAAAAACCAAGGTCTATTTTCCCCAAACCTCTTTGGTATTTTCTTTTAGGCATGGGATTTCTGTATGCCAAGTTTGGTTTAATTCCATTTCTGTTTGAGTTCAGAATGCTCTTTAATGACAGGGAAACTATATATCCCCAGAACTCCCAAAAACCAAGGTCTATTTTCCCCAAACCTCTTTGGTATTTTCTGTTAGGCATGGGATTTCTGTATGCCAAGTTTGGTTTAATTCCATTTCTGTTTGAGTTCAGAATGCTCTTTGATGACAGGGAAACTATACATCCCAGTAACTGCAACTCCCAAATGTCTTGATCTATTTTTCCCAAACTCCACCAGTGTTCAATTTTGGGCATACTGAATATTTGTGCCAAGTTTGGTCCAGATCCATAGTCATTTGGGTTCACAGTGCTCTCCGGATGTACATCTTCCATAAATCACTGTCAATTCCTCCCAATCCCCTCCATATTTTTTGTTGGTTATTGGGGTTCTGTGTGCCAAGTTTGGTCCAGGTCTGTAATTCGTGGGAGTCACAGTGGACTGTGGATGTCAGAGGTAAACCAACTGAAGGTACTGCAGATCCCACCATCCCTTGTCCATACTCCCACAAACATATTGTTTTTGTGATTAATCACTATGCTTTAATTATGTTCTATTTCTACCAATGAAAATACATCCAGAATATCAGATATTTACATTACAATTCATAACAGTAGCAAAATTACAGTTATGAGTAGCAACGAAAATATGGTTGGGGGTCACCACAGCATGAGGAATTTTATTTAGGGGTCACGGCATTAGAAAGGTTGAGAACCACTGCTCTAGAGTCATAGTCCAACAAACAAACCACTACACCATTCTGCCACTCAACAGAAGCTCTTGTAATCCCCAAATCTAGAATTTTCCCACAACACTGGGGAAAAAACCAAACAAATGGAAAACACAAATAAAATGTGATTGCAAATCCTAACCTAAAGGTGGATAGAGAGGCCTCTCATATAGCTCAGCTGGAGATGTAATTTTGTGCTAGTAGATTTTTTTAAAATAGCAATTTAATGTATATTTCATGTTTTGTTCCACTTTCTTATTCTGATCAAGACATTACTTTTTATTTATTCACTTGATTGTACTTTGTACTTTATTGAACATTGCATTTTGTAGACTTTGAATTTATTATGCTTTGGAGCGAGCCTTAAGATTGTTCCAGTTAATCTCATCTTTCTCTCTCTGCCCTGACCACACTTACTCAACATTAGCTAACTGAAAAGCATGTGCCAGGACAATAGGCTTGTTGAGATGGAAGGGTGGAGCACAGCTATTAACATTGTGGTATGGTTTCATCTGGTTAATGAGTTGTTTTATCCATCTCATTTTTGGATTTATGTTTCATTGAATTCTATGTTCATGAGCTATCTTATCTGTAACTCTTATGGAATCTATGTTGTGTGTGAAAAATGGCTTGATTTTTTCAATGAAGTAAACTAGTTTTGTTAGGGTGTAGATTGCCCTCCAGGTGATTTAGAATTCAACTCCCACAATTCCTAACAGCCAGTAAGTTGACTGGGATTTCTGGGAGCTGAAATGTACACAAGAACTTATATATTATTCAAAACAGTACAGACAGCATTCTTGTTCAAATATGAATTTGGTTGCACAGTGAATGTCCAATTTTATGCATATAGTCCCCTATTTGGATGAATAATATGCATACCAAAGTTGATAACTGAGAAGCTGTTCAAACAAGATAGGATTCTTATATACATTGCATCACACAGTACGTATCTGACCAAATCAAATAATTAAAAATGAATTATTTGTGATGACAGGAGATTAACTAAAACTTCACCAACATTCTGAAAAAGAAAAGAACATCTAAAACATTACAACATGTGTAGAGAATATGCCGTATTGTTAGGAACACCCTAGATTCATTTATAATTCAGCAGCATTAAACAAACAAGTTGAGGTTACTAGGGTGCTGCAAGTCCTATAAATTAGTACAAAGTACAAGTTATAGTAAGAAACAATACAGCCAAGCCTTTACTTGCCTTTATTACATGCCTGATTGAACCAATCACTGCAGGTTCATGGGTTGTGCGTCCATCTTTATCATCATATGGCTCCTCTCCCCAAAGATTTGTGAATTCCAGTTCTCCCTCTTCCAGAGGAATAGAAGGCCCTTCGAAGTTTGGCTTCTCATACAGAATCCAACTATAAAATGAAGCAGGCAGCAAGTTAGAACTAGTGGTATTTTAAAAATGCCTGACAGCCTATATACATGTTGCTTTCTTTAAAAAAAAAACAAACAATACAGGCAGTCCCTGAGTTACAAACATCCAACTTACAAATGACTCATAATTAAGAACAGGGGTGAGAAAATAGGACATGAGAATCTACCCCTCGTAAGGGAAATTCGCTCCTGAAAGAGTTATCATGGGGAAAAGGTGTCTCCACTGAAGCTTTCTCTCCAATCTTTGTTTCCACAACAAGCCATTTTTTTCAAAATTCAATTATCACAGAGACAGAAAGTGAGGTGAAATCTTCTGCACAGGGTCACAGACAGCAAAACAAAGTCCACGGAGTTGTTAACCCTTGCCTATGCTATCCAAAGTTTAAAAAGATATATATAAGAACAAAATTACAGAATCTATCTTGTTTGTATAACTTGGGGACTGTCTGTACATTACTAGCTTTTCAGAAATAGTGCACAACAGTTTATATAAAATTATTATTATGAAAGACACTGGTACGACCTGCCAGAAGAGCTCCAACAGCGGAATGAGCTGTCAAAATTTTAAACATATTTGAAAACCTATCTCTTCTTGCAGGTGTACCCAACCAGTTTTAATCACAAATTTCAAACTTGTGTCTTATGTTTTATCTTTGTTCTGTTGTTCTGTTTGTTCTGTTATATATATATATATATATATATATATATATATATATATATAAAATTTCAAACTTGTGTCTTATGTTTTATCTTTGTTCTGTTATATATATATCTCGAGGCAGGTTACGTTATCGCTAAAACCACATCTGAAACTATAACATACACATATTTTTATATATATATATATATATATGTGTGTGTGTGTATGTTATCGTTTCAGATGTGGTTTTAGCGATAACGTAACCTGCCTCGAGATACGAGGAGAGGCGGGTAAGAAATACAATTATTGTTATTATTGTATTGTCAAAGGCTTTCATGGCTGGAATTATTATTATTGCTATATTGACCACAAACTAGATAAAGGCTAATTTTGGTTTTTAATAGAAGGAATTCTTATCAAGTTTTACAAGACACTTTATAGGAAAGAAAATGAAGCATCCCAGCCCTACATTTCCAAGTAAAATTGATTTAAATATATTAAGTCAATATAAAACAAGAAAAATGTAAATAGAGTAATATATATATATTAAACCATTCAAACAGTTAAAACATAAGTTTAAAATATCAAAATAGTTTAAACCATGAGCGTGGACATTTTAAAGTAAAATAATCAGGCCCCAAAGGTTTTAACAAATAGCTATGTTTGTACTTGGTCCTATATTGGTGCCAACTGAACTTACAAAGCTTTCCAAAACCAGGGATGTCATACCTTAAAAAGGTCTACTGCTTCTCTGGTGGGGCAAAAAGGAGGACCCTGTAGCAGACTTCAATTTTTAAGCAGGCATTATAGAGGGAGAAGCACTCCTCTGGATTGTCAGACAGTAGGTTCAAAGGTTTTGTTTGTTTGTTGTGTTCTCATAATGTGGGATTATGGTTATTATGGGAAAGACATGATGGAATAACATGAAGGAATAATTCACCATTGTAAAATTGCTGATTTGGTAACTCTCAAAATATGAAACCTTTAACCAGAGAGAAGAATAAATGTCACCTTAGATCCCATGTTTTAAAAAATTAACCATGCAGGAAGCAAATCCTGCAAGATCCTGAGAAATATATATGTCATATGAGAAGCCTACAATGTAGCAAATGGAAACCTAACCAAGGATCTAGTGGACATTTGGTGGTTCTCACTTCTCCAAGCATCCTGTTCACATTCTCACGTTGTACAAATTGTAAAGAACTCATTATTATTTGACAAGCAGTGACTGTTTATCCCTGAGACTGTATCAACAACTATGGCATCCAAGTTAAAATAGGCAATTTCATCTGCAGAGTACCATGCAAATTCTTCACAGTGGACTGTCTGCATTATCTTCTTGAAGGCCAAACAGTCCTTTAAATACAGGGGAAGAAGATATAACTAGAACTTGGGAAAGGGCAACACCAGCCTCAAAAGATGAAGCACAAGAAGGAACTAGGAAACAGAAATTCACAGCCAATTCCACACTATAAAGTCAGAAATGAAATAAGGTAAGAAACCTGGTGGGAGACGTATACAGCATCAGTCAAATCCAGAAAGTAGATCAAGAGAGCGGAGCCACAAATCTGTGTCAGAAGAAAGGCAGGAGACTATGCAAAGGAGAAAATCAAAGCAAGAGCAGATGCGCAGAGATGAAGCCAAGGAGGAATCTGGGGGAGAAATTGAAAAGAAAAAGGCAAGAGGGAGGAAGACAGAGAGTTTTATTTATCTGGAGACCAAAAAAAGAAGAGCCTGATCATCTTTACATTACTTTTGATCTATAATGAGTATGGGTACAATTTGTTCTCTTGTGCGCACCTATGTGTAGCTCTATATTCACAGAGGGAATCCTCAGAAGGGATCTGGTAGTACCTTCAGTCCACTGTATTACTAGCTTGGTGTGCTGCTGCACCAGATTCCATACAACTCATGTACACAAATAAAGAATTTTAAAATTATAGTATAAATTACGTATACTATTATTATTGTAATTTGTTTTTGCCCTTTAACAAATAGCTAGCACAAAGTGAAATCTATAATCATGCCTCATTTCACTTTTTTTGCTTTGTTAGCAAGTTCTTTTGTCTTAAGATACCTAGATTTTATTATAATCATTTTGCACACCTTTGGCAGCCACAGGAATTCTATAATGCAGAACAGTTTTCACAGCAATGAGCAAACTGCAGTTCACTGGGCACATGCACCCCAAGTCCATTCTGCCCCCAGGGAGTCAAATGCTCCAAAATGCCTCCCAAACTCTCTAGTGGAAGTGGAGGCCTTTTTTTGAAATCTGAAAGCAATCAGTAAGTGACTTCTGCTCATTTCCTGATGTTTTAAAAACATACATTTCCTAAAATGGCTCAGAAAGCCCAAAAATACTGTCCCTTTAGAGGCATCTGGGGAAAAAGTTTGGCATTTTGAGTTTGTTTTGTTTTACAGGAGCAAAACAGGGTGGCCTTTCACGGTCTTTTGGGGATTAATGTGGCCCCATTCCCTTCCATAGTTGCCTGCCCCTGTTTGTCACAGCAGCAGCAACACTACCATCACCATTTGCAATAACTATTGTTATTGTTGTTGTTATATATCCTGCCTTTCCCCCAAAACTGAGGCTCTGGGTAGTACACATATATTAGTAAAAAGAGAAATTAAAGTAGAATTAGACTCAATAAAATTAAAAACAATTTAAAATACACAAATTGAAAGACAAGAAGTACCAGTACAACCACTATTAAGTCTTTTCCTTATAGAATCACATTTCAAAGGCTGGCTGATTTTTTTAAAAGTCTTCACCTCTTGACAATAAACCACAAGGAAGAAAGCCAGTTTAGCTTCCCTAAGAATGGAATTAAGAGATTGGGAGCAACCAACAAGATAGCCCAGTCACAAATATTTCTGTGACACCAAAAGATTTCATAGACATCACAATACATAGACATAGATACTCCTTTCAGATAAACTGTATCCAAAAGGACCAGTAGTCAGTGAAACTATTGCAAAAAAAGAAAAGAAAAAGGGAGCCCTGTGCTCCCCAGAACAGCAACAACCAACAACATAAACTGCAAAAAGAACCCAATTGCTGCTGCCCAAAATGTTTTAAAAAGATGCTCAGCATTCAGTAAAATCAATATAGTCTTCCTGTTGGTTTTTACCAAAGATGGAAAGCAGTACTCAAAAATTAGGAAACACAGGGATTAGAAAGTGGATGTCATTTAGGATCACAGGTGGGCCTTTTGGCATCTAAATGGGAAAATATGGACATAGTTAACAATAAAGGTTCTACATGCATTAGCTCAAATATTATGCTTGCTTGGACAGTTCAAAACATGCCCTAGAAGAAATTCAAAGCAAACTAGTTCAACCAAGATAGGCAATAAAACAGGCACAGGGCCAAACATACATTGATAAAACAAATGAATCATGTTTAAGCAGAATTAAGTGACTGGATTTAGAATTAGGGAAACATCAAGGAGAAAAAAAAGATCTTAAATACTTACCATCCTCGAATGATTTTAACAAAAATCACAGGTGAGAATACCCAAGACGTGCAATCCAAAACATCATTAAACACCTCAATGGTACTTTCTGAGGGACCTGGCTTGTTCACAATCACAATCTGTATTTTAAAAAATCACAAGCTGTTTTAATCAAACAAGAAAACATAGCATGGACAAAGAATGTCATTAACAAAAAAAATAATAACTTACCTTTCCAGGCCTAGGATTAATTTTATTTTGGCTGTTTCCTGAAAATGCCTGCTAAAACAAAGGAAGCAAACCATAAGAATTCAAACAAAAAAAAAAAGATGTATTTTACTCCATCATATAAGTTAGGTTTATGAAAGTGAAATTTGTATTTTCAGTGTACTTTAATTTAAAATAGAATGTATATAAAATATTTTAGAAATCACTCTTTTAAATTTTCATAAAATTGTGCATTACTATACAATGGATGTCTCTTTGGGAAAATGCAGTCCAGCATATTTGACCATTTTACTAATCCATCACCATACTTTTAAGTGCATAATGTGAGATATTTACTCATTTTATTTCAGCACTGTTGCAGGTATGAATTCTTAACCTGCTTTCAGTGCAACCATAAATATTTTCCTGTTTGTAAATAAACCAGAAATAACATGAGTTGCAAGGGAGAGGTGACTACAGAACTATACCTTAAACCAATAAGTGCATACATATTTATTATACTATTGTCATCTCAATCATGAGATGACATTTTAAATAATTAGTAATGTTTTGAAACCTTTTTTTTAAAAAAATTGCCCTGTGAAGAAAATATTTCTTTTAGAAACTACAGTGGCCATTTCCACATCTATCTATTTAAAACATGTTTGCTCTATCATCAAAATTGTGTATATAACAAAAACATGAAGGTTCAATGTGTAAAAGTATATAATCAGCTTCAAACCAACCTCTATATCTAGGAAACTATTTGGTTCATATTGTCCAGGTTTCATCCAGCTTGAAAAACCGGTGTCAAGGTTTCCAAAATTTGGCATTTGTAAAATTCTCTGGTTCTTTGCGTCATCAGTTTGTAAGTATTTGTCTATATAGTTTGTAGCCTTAAAGTCTGAAAAAGACTGAACAATGTGATAAAAAACAATCAGAGGCTGCTTACTAGGAAAATATATCTGAGAATGCACAGTTTTTAACATTTGGGGAGGTATTAGATGTCTGTTCTATTACCTCTGGCCTCTGAGCTGTATCAAACATTACAGGAGGTATTCCCAAGGAATCAGCAGTCTTCTGAGATGCAAATGATGTTGTGATTGTGTTTATAGAGGTCACAGATGGCACAAACACTTTTTCTTTTGTACTGGGTGACAATAGGCTTGAAAAGATGGCACTGTTCTCAAGTCGAGATCGCTTAACTTCTCCATCTGTACTATCCTTACTCTCTTTTCCATTTGTTTCTGGGAAAAGGACAGGATCAGCTCTGTTCGATTTTAGACACTGGAGAATGATGCTGTTTTCAGCAGAGGCACGTTTGGGTCTGACCCTCACCTCAGTTTCTAAACTTTGCAGCTTCAGCTGTAGGGACGGGGCTAGATCCTGTGGCTTATCTCTCTTCATTCCCAAACCAACAGTGAATACATTTGGATCAAATATTTTCTCTAAATTGTCTTCGTGAATTGGAGGCATAGCAAAGTGAGGTGCTGGAGATTTTGGAACCTTTGCCTTTTTCTTTTTCTGGGGTATACAAATAGCACTATCTAGATTTTTAAGTGTTTCAGTAAACTTTGCCATATCGGATGGGGACTCACAAATGGGTTCTTCATTACCAGATTTGAGAACACTACAACTGCCTCTTGGACTTTGCTGTCCACTGATATTTTGCTCAAACATTTGTATATTTTCTAAAACAGTATTTGTCATATTATTATCTTCAGTTTTGTCTTCAGGAATCAGAGTTTGCTCAAATTCTGACTTTCTAGCTGTGAGATCAGATTGCAAGAAACTCTTTTCATCTTTATTTGTGGAACTTAAGTCTGTTTTCAAGGAATGTTCCTCTTCACCTTCAGGAGACATGGATCCAACCTTCACATTAATGTTATTTTGGAAGTTTGCAATCTCTTTACGCTGTTCTATAGATTTGGTTTCACTTGTGGGTTGCAGATTCTCCTTCATTAATTCTACATCCAAATTTTTAGCTGTAAGAATATCTATGTTACCAGTTTGATTAACCTGACATTCAGCAGCTTTTCCAACTTCCTCATTTGTTATAATGTTGGACTGGGTCCTTCCTTCTGACTTGATTTTTATATCTGAAGCGATTTCTTTAATCTTTGTGCCATTTTGCAAAGTTTTCTGGCGGCTGTTTGCCTTGTTTATTGCTCTGTTAAGCTGTTCATTTTCAGTGTGCTGTTTCCCAAACTTCAGTTTTGCTCTACCAACAAATGTATTTGATACTGAACCTTTTTTTGAGCCTTCAGTAGACTGTGTGTGATTTGACTGTTTGTTTTCGAACATGGATATTTTATTGGCAATATTGAAGTTAATTTTGACTGCTTTGTCCACTGAGTCATGGTCACTTCCTAAATCTTCCAGGCTTTTTGATGTTTTAAGGTTTAACTCAATCCTTTTTGGTTTAGCTGGCCTGGAAAGTTAAAATAAAATAAGAATTACATTGCACTCTATGCCAATAATATTTCATTTTAATGTGTTAAAAAAAACCAAAACAAATCTATATAGGTAATCAAATTATGGTGAAATACTTCTAATTAACTCCACCAATTGAATACAGTGGATCTACTTCAAATTATTCAGCCTTATGGGCCATATCTTATGGGCCTCTGTGAAACATACAACTCAGTGTAAGTAGGATTGGAGACCACTCTTCTTGGGATTTAAATGCAATCTTACGCTGCACTCAAAGAAGAATAGCATTCAAATTATGGGAAGTACCGCATATACTCATCTTTATTTTATGTGTAAGTCATGGCCAGATTTGGGTGCAAAAATAATGGATTTTAAACCATGAATAAGTTAAGGGTTGAAGGCTTTCATGGCCAGAATCACTGGGTTGCTGTGAGCTTTTCGGGCTGTATGGTCATGGTCCAATAGCATACTCTCTTGACATTTCACCTGCATCTGGGGCTGGCATTATCAGCGATCCTCTGAAGATGCCAGCTACAGATGCAGGCAAAATGTCAGGACAAAATGCTACTAGAACATGGCCATACAGCCCGAAAAATTCACAGCAACCCAAGTCAAGGGTAATTCAGTGAAGAGGGGAAACAATCTCAACTCTGTGAGCCAGCTGCCCCTGCTATTTCCCCATCCAGGCATTTTAAAAATCCAGAAGCTGTGGTGGAGAGAGTAAAGGTATTGGTGCTTCCAAGAGTTAAGGTGATAAGGTTTTTTTTGGTAAGAGTTAAGGTACAGTATTCAAACTGACCCACTGATAAGTTGGCCCAAGTTTTTTGGGTTGATATTTTGACTAGATTTATAAATACATAGGGTAATACTTCCACTCTTTTCTGTGAGAGGCCATATTTGACCTTTTGTGTCATTAATCGGAATGCAGGCAGAAGAAAACAACCCAAATGCAGAGAAGCAGGAAAAAGTCTTATGGAAAATGATTTAAATTTAATTTTTACAGAGTTATTATTTATTATTTATTAACTTTATTTATACCCCGCTAACATCTCCCGAAGGACTCGATGTGGCTTACAAAGGCCAAGGCCACAACAAAACAACAGCATAACAAATACAACAGTAAAACTCATAAAGCAAATAATAAAACATCAAGCAAAACAATAAAACACTAAAAACATGACACTATGACACATTTAAAACCTAAGGCCGGGCCAAATGTAATGGACAAAATTTAAAAAGTGCTGGACATGACAGGTGAAATGTAGAGGTTTTTGGAGGTAGATGCAATGTGCAGACAATCCTAGATATCTAACAAAGTGTATTTGGGACATGATGCTAGGAGTTCCTCTTCTGGAAAGGCACACCGGAACAGCCAGGTCTTCAGGCTCTTCCTAAAGACTGCCAATGTTGGGACTTGTCTGATGTCCTTGGGGAGAGAGTTCCAGAGCTGGGGGGGGGGGGCACCACAGAGAAGGCCCTGTCCCTCGTCCCCATCAAATGCGCTTGCGACGCAGGTGGGATCATGAGCAGGGCCTCTCCAGATGATCAAAGGGATCGTGTGGGTTCATATATGGAGATGCGGTCACGCAGGTAGGCGGGTCCCAAACCGTTTAGGGCTTTGTAGGTGAGCACCTGCACCTTGAATTGGGAACGGAAGATGAACGGCGGCCAATGGAGCTCCTTAAACAGGAGGGTTGACCTCTCTTTAGGTGGCAAATGAGAAGATGAAAGGAGTGCATAAAATGTCATTAGGCAAAGATGAGCCAGAAAAAAAAACCTGTCCTGCCCTACAGCAGGGGTGGGCTACTGTACAGGGGCTATTTTCCCACCCTGAAGTCTCTGGCAGCAAATTTCGGTGCACCCAGAGTGACATATCATTTCCAGTTATCATTTTGCCCAATAAAAACATTCCAAGAGCAAGACCATTTAAACAGTGGAGGAGTTTGCATCGGAAGGAGAGAGTTCTCCTTTGCTGGAAGCCAGCCATCAGGAATGTTGAAACCTGTGTTACAGAACCTGAACTTAGCTGGATGGGGGACTGAACAGGATCTTCAATATCCCTTCCAATGATAAGTTCCTTCTATTAATGAATATCCCTCATACAGTAATGTACATAAATCACTGCATAAAGACTGCTTATGTCTTTGCAGTAAATTTTACTTAACTCAAGCAAACAAAAAATACACAATAAAACAAAATATACAAATATATGATTAGAATAGGGCACAATTTAAAAACATTTTAGAATAGCAACAGAAACAGTTCAAAAGGAACATTGTATTTTGTAGCTGAGAAATATTCTGTGAACATGCATGGAATTCTTAACAATGCATTTGTTTTACCTTTCACTTTAATTTTAGGTCCTATATTTTTACTGATTTACTACTACCTTACTTCACTCTACTTTTTAAAAATGTCAAAAGAATCAGTTAACTCTCAGTGGATGTGACTTTTTATAGAAACAATTACAAATATCTTTTTCATCTTGCAATCATATTGAATAGATTGCAACCATGTTTTTCTTTTGTCAGATACTATATCCCTCAGAAAAGAGAAGCTTTTCCCTAGATGTCTGAAGTACAACAGGTTCAAAATCTGCATGCTTCTAAAACCCCATATAAAATACTAGCTCTTTAGAAACTTCTATATCATTCTCAATGTGCATCCACTTCACTGACTAGTAGAATTTGTATCATTTCAAAACTATTTAAGATATCAAAAAAAGTGAACTGAATCCATATCCAGTCAATAAACTGCATTTTAAAACTACATTTTGCATAGAGCACTAAATATTCTAGATGGGACCACCAATCTGAGTCCCAAACTACTCAGAGTTACAATTTCAAGCCAGCCAATGAACTGGACTGGAATAACAATGAAACTTGTGTCAGTGGAGCCACTGACTATTTTATGGAGTTTTCGTCTTAACTCTGCCCCTTCCTCTATTAAACTTGGCTGTTTCTCTCACTTTTTGGACATTAAATAGAAAATGTCAGAACATACACATTCCTTTAACATTTCTTTGTACCATTCTTCCCTCCCTCTTGTTGGCTCTGAATGCCCCTACTTCTCCTCTTGCCACATTATTTAGATTGTAATGAAACCAAGAGCCTCCAGGGTGTCTGTGCCTGAAGAAACCCATGCTGTGTGTGAACTGACACAGGGTAAGTATGATGTTGTCCGTTCTTGTATTCCTGGATTTAAATTATTGAGGCACATGATGCAAAGGCACAGATGAAATAATCATTAACTATTCCTGTCATCACCAACATTTTAATTAATTTGTAATTTAAAACAATGTGAATTAGTTCTGGTGGCAATTGCTTCTTTGAAGTATCTTGCTCTTTTTTTATTCATCTCCTATATAGTGATCCTTTGCCTTAGTAGCCAAATCCTGTCTTCTCTCATTCCCCCAGTCACATTCTTTGTCCTTTCTTAGTCCATGTGGCCTAATAAATTTGCCTGGAGTAGGTCTCTTAGCCTGTGTGGCCTACTCCAGGCAAATATATACACATTTCCCTGGAGGTAAGTTCCACTGAAAGCAATACAACTGGATTCTGAACAGACAGATATATTTCCTCAGAAATAAGAAGTAAAATAAAAATGGCTTTAAAAAAATTGACATGCAATAAACTGGACTGTATGAAAACCAGGAGTCATTAAATATGCATTTAAAAGTGAAACAGAAGAAAGGATCATTTTATTCTAAACAAGGATACTTTTGTTGAGATCCATAAATCAGATCACTATGACAAATGTAAGGGCATATATAAGTATAATTTATTTATTTATTTATTTATTTATTTATTTCTCACATTTCTATCCCATCCTTCTCAACCCCCAAAGGGGGACTCTCCAATCATGGGAAATAAGAGGTCACAGCAAGCCTGTAAAGACCAAGCTCTGAGCTTCAAATAGGATTAAGGAAGTTTGGAGTTTTTAGAGTAGTTGCTTTAATGCCCCTTTCCAGGAAGCATGTTAGTAGACATTGAGGGAAACTGGGTCCTTCTTGGACCTTTAGTCTGGTCTACTATATATTGAAGTGATCCTTTGGAGCAGTTTCTCAAACAGTGCTCCTCCGGATGTTTTAGATTTCAGTACTCACAATTCCTAACAGCTGGTAAGCTGGCAGGAATTTCTGGGAGCTAAAGTCCAAAACACCTGGAGGAGGACAGTTTGGGAAACACTGTTTTGGAGAAAGAGATCCAAGGATGGATACAGACTATCCAATAAACAAAACGACAAGCTAGGAGTAGAGAAAATAAAAAAACTTGGAATGCTTTCATATTTATGGAAGACATGATGTAAATTCTGTACTTTTGTCAAGCATGAACTTGACAAAAAGCATAAGAATTTTATTTCAGTTCAGCACTCCTCCACCCCCTTGTCATCTGCGAATGTATGCCATAAGATGACTAAGGCGTTGTTGTAGGGCAAGAGCAAACCCCCCCCCCTCTGAATTTAGTGAAAATTACACATAAGAGGACTAGCATGTTATGAAAAAGAGCACATCCACCAAACAAATAACTAAGAAATTGAGAGAAACAAATTGAGGACATAATTTCTGCTTTACACACACTGGTCTCACATTGCAATGTATGCATGTACTTACTCATTCATTCACACTTGGGTAAATAGATTACTCCATATGCAGGTGAACTTTTTGCTTTTGTTTTGGCCAGGCTTAGATGGTTGGCTATTCAGGGGAGAAAGGCCTATCACAGATGCTATAGAATTTATGTTCACTGTTTTATTTCTAATTCTAATGATTATGTAATTACATTTTAAATTATTGTTATGATGTTAGTTTTTTTATCTGATTTATCTGGTTTTTTTTAAAAAAAATCATGCCACCTTGAGTCTGACTAGAACAAAAGTGGAATCATTATCACCATATTTCCTGTTTGAAGAAATACATGATATAGAGACATTCCACTAATATATATTTAATTAAAAGTTGGTTTCCTCTAAGTTTGTATGGTAGCAGTTGATTATATA